TTATGCCTGTTTCATCTTGCCACTCTTTTGCAGACAAAACAAACCAAACTTTCTGATCTCCTATAATATAAAGTCTAGATTTCTGTGGCTGTCACTCAGGAGTTGCTAGGATGGTCCCTCTCTGTCCTCTTGGACATCTCAGGGCTTGTTCTCTTCCTACCTCCTCTCCAGTCTGCTGGGCCTCTCCCACCTCGTTTACCTTCCACGTTGGGATTCTGAGGAAGTCCCTCATGGTCAGGGACAATCCCTTCCTGTCTGTTGCTGTCTTCAATCATGGGAAGGGCATACGTCAATAGGGATTTCTGTGCTCATGTCATGTGCCAGAAATAGATTCATCTTGAACCTTATGGAGCAATCAGAGGACAGAAACTTCTAGAAGAGCTCCTTAGGAATTATGGTAAATTAATCTGCTGTGTTCATCACTGTGCTAGGCACGGGTGGGAGAAATAGAAACTTAAGATATAGTCTATCTTCCCTCAAAGAGCTGATAATTTACTTGGGAAGATGAAAATTACACACACAAAGAGTCACAAATAAAATAGTATAGAATCAAATCCAAAATCAGCCCTTATCATTGTTGCAAATTATTTCCCTATGTTTGCACCTTTTAATTTTTAAAACTAGAAGTGATATGTGTTTGTCTTCAAAATTAGAATACTCTGAAGTATATGGAGGGAAAGTGAAAGTCCTCATTTGCCCCCTTCTCAGTCCCTCTTAGTGAGCGTCATTCCAGCCTGTTCTCAGTGTTCTTGGAGATAAATATAGACATGTTTGTAAATGCACATACAAACACACAGGGTTTTAATGGGACTATACTAGACATATGGTTCTGCAACCTGCTTCTTACAATTTTATGCCTTCCCATGTCCTCATGCGTATAGATCTACCTCATTCTTTTTAATGGCTGAATAATATTCCATAGTAAGGACACACTACCACTTATTTAACCTTCCTTCTATTGATGGATATTTAGTATAGTTTCAATTTTTCCTTATTAAATTAGAGTCACATTGTATTAAAAATTATCTTGTGCAAATTCAACCATATGTTCTCAGCAAATAGCAAAAACAAACACAGGACCCATGAAGCAGCAAGAACAATGAGTAAGCATGAGTGGTTAAGAACACAAGCTCTGGTGCCAGACTGCTTGGGTTCACACCCTTCTCTGGCCCTTGCTAGCTATGTGATCTTGGGAAAATATTTAACATCGCTGCGCCTCACTTTCCTCATCTGGAAAATGGAGGTAACAATGGCGTCTATCTCAAAGGGTCCTTATGAGGATTAAATGAATTAACACAAGCAACACGTTTAGAACAGTTCCTGACACATAGTGAGCGGTTAATAAATGTTAACTATCATTCTACTATCATTATTATTACTAACATATATCGAGCAGAAAGTATAGGGGAAAATTTATTAAATATGGCTAAAATTTATGAGTTGTTCAACATTACTTCAAAATTATTTTGGCTGAAAGAAGGGGATAGGATGTATCTACATTTTTGCATCTGCTGCTCAAGATACACTGCAAAATATGGCAGACAGTCCGAGGAAGGCCCTGATCCCTTTTCCTTGTGACTTTGCTTTTGAGCCAGGCAATGGTAAAATCACAAACAATCTTAATGGTCCCTATAAATCATGTGACTTGTGATAGAACAAAGTGTAATGGTATCTCGGTGGACGCGTTTTCATGGACCCAGAGACCCTGGGCTAAGCCTGCCTGGTGCTTTGGTTCTCCCAGATTGTACCAGGTTTGCACCTGCTAATGCGGGGGCAGAGGTGACTCTTCTCAGCAAGGGCGAGGGTGTTGGTTGGTGGCCTAACCAGGAGAAGCAGAGATGGAAGTGAACAGGTAAACAAACCCTTGTTGCCAAGGGGGAAGTAAATATATCAGGTCTTGGGGCTGCCCCAGATCCTTCCAGTCGAGAGCTGTAGTCAAGTTTCCACGAGGCCCAGCTGCACCACCACGAGACCAGACACGTGGCTGAAGTTTCCACTGTTCCTATTCCCATTTGAACCCTCCATTATTTGAAATTCCTGTGTGAATCTGATCCTTGACCCCAAAGGGTCCAACTCAGACACAAGCAAACTGTTTCACGAAAAAGGAAATATAACCAGGAAGCAAACATGGGAAGGTGTTCACCCCGCTAGTATGAAACACATATTAACATCGCGAGAACTACAGAGTATCTCCTACTCACCCTGCTTGGTTTCTCTGTTCCTTCCACGGTCTTCTCATCCAGCTACGATGCTGAATAAAAGGACTATGTCTCCAAATGGGGTTATTAGTAAAATCGAAAACCTATCAGACTGAAAGTGTGAGTCATCATTCAAATTCCCCCAGAATTTCCATTTATAACCACTCCCCCAGAAATTCCTACTTATAAATAGAAAAATCAAGAATGAACTTTTTTCTTTTTAAATCCACTTCCCCATCTATAAAAAATTAGTTTACCGCACAGCTTAACCCAATGCATGTATATTGTTCTGATCAAAGAACTGTAAATAAAGCTGAACTGCCAAACCTTGTTACTTTTCACTTTTCTGGCAAGAATTGGTAACAATCAGCATTAAATTTCACTGCCACGTGAAAGATGTTCAAAGATTTTCTGATTTTACTCCATCAGAAGTACAATCAGTTATGGAGAAGTTCCTGGAGTCTTTATCACCGCAAAACCCATAGCAACAAAAACACAAACACAAATTAGAAAGAATTTTTCACCTCAAGAAATGCAGTTGAAGCCACTAAATGTCAATGTTAGGAATAACAGAAAGGAGGCAGGTTAATAAAATACAGCAAGAATAATAAAAGTTGAATTATTGGGTCAAGGAGAGCACGCATTTGGATTCTGATAGATACTGCCATATCGCCCTCCTCGGACGCGTGCACATTTAACCACCACGAGTAATGTACAGGGTGCCTATTTCCACACAGCCTTGCCGTCACAGTAGGTTAGCAATTTTTTTTTTCCAGTCTGATAGGTAAAAAGTGGTATCTTGGTATTTAATTTATATTTATCTCATTTTGAGTGACGTTAAGTAATTTTTCATATGTTTATGAATCACTTATATTTCCTTTTCAGAGAATCATATTTTTATAGGCTTTGCCCAGTTTTCTATTTCAGTAGTTTTTTTTAAAAATCGAATTGTAAGAGCTCTTTATGTACTGAAGAGATTTGTCTTTGAAGTGATTGGCATGTCTTCCCCCGTTTTGCCATTTATCTTTTGCCCTGACTAAGAAGTTCATTTGGTCCAAGGTAAAGAGCTTTAACTTCAAAGATTTTCCAAGTGTTTGTGTACCGAAAGGAGGCTATCGAGATAGAAACTCTCATTTGGACAGACACAGAAATCAGCCAGCTCGTACGCACTGTGGGCTCCTGGGCGATGCCTGCAAGTCATGAGATGAGAAAAGTGGAACTAAAATTGCTCTGCTTAGTGTGTGCCGAGTCCTCCCGGGGATGGGCCGGGAACACTGGGAGACCTAGTGCCTTTGGGAACACGTCTCTCGTCCTTAAAATGGATTTAGGTGTATATTCTGCCCAAGATTTACCACCGGAGAATGGAACGGCACCAGGAGGAGGGGTCCTGCCTCACCTCCCCTGGTAGAGGGCGTCCGAGGGCGTGAAAGCCCCTTTCATACTGTCTGCGGCAGGGCTCCGAGGGCTTATTCTAGACCCAATACATCCATTTTGGGAAATGTACTGCTGGTACTAATCGTGTCCCGGGGGTTGTCCTAGTGTAGTGAGAAGGACAAATCCTAGCGGAAGATTTTATCCATCAGGCCCTGGTGGGCAGCGTTACTGTTACTCCCGCAGAGACAGCACTCAGCAGCTTGCGCAGGTACCCCCAGGCACCGGTTGGAGCCGGCTGCCGCGTGCAGAACCTATGTTCTCAGGCCTCGCCCCACGACAGCGCTAGAGCAGGTCCAAGGATGGGCTTTGGGATTTGGAAAGGATGGGCCGACAGTCTCAGGCGAGCAAACTCTCTGGGATCCGAGATGGACTCTTTCTGTCTTCCATTCCCGGGTCCGCCTGCCAAAGGCCGATCTCCCCATCCCTCAAAGCTCCGCCAGAACCTGTGCTCAGCCACTGGGCTCCGCGCTCGTTCTCAGGGCAGTTCAGACTGCCTTTGGTTTTCATGCACACGAGTCTCACTTCTTCACCTAGACAGACAGACCCAGCCCAGACGGCAGGTTTGTTAGACTTTACCCAGCGCTGGGCGGAGTGCTGTGGAAGGAGGCGGATCTCCATAGATCTTGTAGACGCTGTGACGGATGCGAGGTAAGCAGGGCCAGCATCGAGGGAGAAGCGCGCGAGGGCAAGGGGCTGGGAAGTCAGGGAGAAGGAACCCAATTTCACCCTGAGGGGAGGCTGGTGGTGGGGTGATGGAGAGCGGGATAAAACCCCGGAGGTTTAGGGGGACAGCCGTGGTCCGGCCCAGACCGAGGGGCGGGTGTGGGAGCGGGACCCAGCTGTAGGAGGTCCGGACCTGCTCTCTGGGGGAAAGGGTCTTCCTGCCAGGTGCTTGGCCCCTTTCAAGGCTGTTGGAGAAACGAAGCCAGGCTCAGTTTCGTCCAAAGTCGGGCAAACTGGGCTGGACTAGTGGTTGGTTCCGCCTCGACACCGCCTCGAATCCCGCGGCCCAGGTCCCCGCAGCCGCCTGCCGGGGTCCTTCCCCAGCCCCGCCCCCCCGTCCTCCACAAGACCCCAGCCGCGGTCCGTTCCCAGCCCCGCCCCGCGTCTCCCTCAGACCCCAGCCAGGGTCCTCGCCAGCCCTGCCCCACAACCCCACCACGTCTTAGCCCCGCCCCGTCCTCGCCCCACCCCTGCTCCGTCTTAGCCCCGCCCACACCCCAGTATCAGTCCCGCCCCGTCTTGGCCCCGCCCACACGCCTGCCCACCACACCGCCTTCTCCCCGCCCACGGCCCGCCCCCTGCTGGCCCCGCCCATAACCCTGTTTCCCCGTCGCGCGAGGGCTGTGCAGCGGCAGCGGGGGCGGGGCAGCCTCACCCGGAATGAAAACAAACGGTGGCCCCCCCGCCGCATCCGGGCACTCGGTGAGTCGCGACGGGCAGGAGCGGCGGTGGCGCAGGTGAGGAGACGGCGGCCGTGCGTCCAGTCCCCGAACCCGGCCTCACGACGCCGTCGGGCGCCCCAGTCCCCGGCACGACCCCGATGCCCCCCGGCCCGGGTCTGGCGCGGCTGCACCTGCGGGCGGTGGGCGCCCTGCAAGGAGGCTTGACTGGGCCGGGGGCGGCGGGCCGGGGCTTCGGGACACGCCGGCGGTTCATCAGGCCTTGGGTTTGCGCTGCGCTGGGCGGGGGAGGTGGGGTATTTTAAAAAGCTTGAGTATTGTTTGGGGGAGAGACAGAAATATATGTATATATTGAAATTAAGCCAATTAGCCAAGCGAAAAGCTTGAATCATAACACTGTTATTCCAGATATGCCATTTGGGATTTATTTGCAATCAAAGCCAGATTTTCTTTGCTATTTAAGGAGAAAACACGGTTGATTTTTCTCCACCCTTGACCAGCTGAGTCTATATTTCTCACCTCCTTCCTTTACTCTTGTTTTTTAATACAAGCGTCTTTTATTACTCTCCCAGAAAATTTAATGTATTTTGAATATATTTTTGTGTATATATATTTGAAAAGCTCTGGGTAAAGGTAGCCTAGATAATTCGTTACAGAAGTGAAAGTGAAATTTTTAAAGCGTGGTTCATAAGGTTTCACTTTCAGTTATGAGCTGTAATGGATTTTTTTCCTGTTGAGAAATAATTGACGTAGATCTCTGCGCTTTTTTTGGCTGTAATAAGGAACCTTGTATGGCAGGCAACTTTCAGTTCTCCAGTTAAAATTGAAGACTGATTTATTAAACTGTTTCCTTTTGGTTTGATTTAAAATACGTATTCTCGTTTATTCTGTTGTCTATAACTGAAGCTTTGTACTTTTCAAGACAGCAGTTTAATCTTTTTTTAAACATTGAGTCTTGCGTGATGTAGGCCCTGCCAGCTGTAGGTTTGCTCCTGGGTGAGGCGTGGGCCTGGCGGCAGGTCTGTGAAGCCCTCTGGGCCTTGGGTCAGGCAGTGGCTCGGATGGGATCAGGGAGGGCAGGGCATTCAGCCTTCCAAATAGCGGTGCGTGGAATGATTCCCCGCCACTTCCCTCATATTTTATTTACAATTTCTGAAGATACATGAGAAGGGAACTAGCTTTGTGTAGTGGTTCTGTAAGTTCATTGGTTTGAAAAGCTAGTGCTCATAGTACTGATTTGCTTTTCTGTGTGAGAAGCTTTCGTTAGTACTTGGAAATCTGGAGTTCTTCCATGCCTCGCCTGGATGCACACAACCCCCTCCTTGATGTGTGTGTTGTTTCTTGCCTTTTCTCCTCCCTCTCCTGATTACCCTCTTTCTCGCCACGAAACTGATACAGAATGAACTTCCTTTTAAAATTCTTACTTGTAGAATACACTTAAGTTATCAAACTTGATTTAAAAAACAGGTGAATTGGGTTGGGGGAGTGGGGTGGAATACAGGCCCTGCATAGAAAAAGGAAAGTTAGTTATCCAGGTTGTATTAACCCTTGTTTTTTCACCCTTTAGAACTTGTCTTCATCATTCAGAAGCTGATAACTTTTTACTTTTCTCACTACTTGTCTGGTCGGGCTGTACTACTCTTGTCAGCTGTTTCACGTCTCTAGCAGCCTCACCCGCCCCTTTGAATGGCTATGCTAGTGAGAGATGAGGAGAGAATTCCGTGGCTGGCGGGTATTCTTTGGGAGAGAGTAGTTACATACTCAGGACACACAAGCAGCAAAGGACTGCGTGGCAATGCAGAGTCTGATGTTGTAGGCAGCAGTCCCAATGCTGGTTGTGGTGCTGCCTCATTTTGTGACCTTGGCTGAGTCGTTTGACAAACCTGGGGCCTGGGTGTTCTCACCTGTAAATGATGATCCAACCAGCGCCAGTGTTAGATTTGAATAGTATACATAGATCTGCCGTTGTGCTGTTATCACAAAATACCATGCAAAACTTTTCTAGTAGTGTAAAAGTTTATAATTTTAAAAATTCAGATATAGAGAATATTTATTATTGATTGTTCACAGTTCAAGCTAGCGTTTCTTTATGTTAACCTGCCAAGGTGGGTGGTGTTTTGTGTTAAACTAGCCAAAATACAAGAGAATTTCTAAGCTCTATGTTGACTTGCTTATAAAAGTTGACTACTTTAAGGATTCACCTTTTCTTTACCTTTTCTCTTAGATCACAGAATAATAGCAGGTTAAGATATAGAAAAGTGTAATAAACTTTGCCACATACCAGCACTTTAAATATCTTTTTATGTAATACATAATATATAATTGAATAAATAATAAATATTTCAATATATATAGAAATAGATATTTTAGAGAAGACTGGAGGTAGTTAAAACCTAATCTAAAAGTAATTTAGATTAAATTGGAGAACGAGGAGTGGAGGGGAGCTCTGCTTACTCTAAAGGCACGTCAACATGTTAAGTACGTTATAAAACACTCTGAAACGTGGGGTGGGGTGTCACTGATGGACTGTTTTGCTTTTAAGAATGGCGCAAAAGGAATATCTCCAAGCAAAATTGACCCAGTTTTTAAGGGAAGACAGAATTCAACTTTGGAAACCTCCATATACAGATGAAAATAAAGAAGTTGGTTTGGCGTTGAAGGTATTTTTCTTTTAAGACATAAATAATTAGCAGTGTTATATGTCTCCTTGGGAAATAAGATTCTGCAGTCACTGGAAATTGCCAGGCACAACCACGTAAACTTTCAGTATAACCAAAAAGCATTAGTAATAAGCAGGTACCCGCTATTTACTGGGAGTTACAAGCTTATTTTTGTTTAGTAAGATTTTATGCATATGAGAATGTTATCTAATTTCTCAGGTATATACTGTTTTTAATACCTTCACAGTGTTGTGTAAAATTGTTAATCTGGGAATTAATTTTGGCCAGCTCGTGAGGCCAGTGAGTGGGTGTGCCGTGTGTGTGAGGGAGTGCCTGGGCAGCTCTCAGTGCTCCTTACTAGCATGGTCTGCTGTAACACGATTGCCCCCCCCGCCCCAGCTTTTTTTACACTGTGGCTATTTGTTCATTTATTTCAAGATATATTTTTCTAATAATTATTCCTCAGTGTTTTACAGCATCATAAGAAATGGCATTATTGTACGTAACTGAAATTTCTAGAAATTAACATTTGCCTGCTTTTTTAAGTAGAGAAACATTAGTCTTTTTGATAGACATCTGTTATATTGGAAGTACCCTAGCATGTACTTCTCTGCTTTCTCAGTCTGAGTATCCAGAGATAAATGATGTGACATTTATCAGGGACTGAGGATTGTCACGAGGGCATCACATTGTCCTGTGTTGTGGCACAATGATGCACTTGGGAGGTGACATCCTTTATTAGGGTCTTGGAATTTCCCATCCTGTGTTCCTGACAGGCCTCACTTTTTAGTTTTTGCTACTCACCTTCTGACCTTTCTTCCTTTTTTTTTTTGCTTGTTATAATCTCTTTGGCTCAGAAACTAGATATGGCATAATAAGAAAGCTATTTCATCTTTGTCCCCACTTCCTGGCACAGAGCTCCTAAAACCCTTGGAATTTCCCCAGTGGTGAGGGTGATAGGAGCATCTTTTGTTCTAATGAGGCAGTTCTTGGCAGTGGCTTCAGAATGGGGCTAGTCGCCAAAAAGATCAAACTCTTATTAGAAGCTTGAAACTTTCAGCCCTACCCTCCAGCCTTGGGGAGGGAAGAGGGCTGGAGCTTGAGTTAATCACCACTGGCCAGTGATTTAATTAGTCATGTCTACATAGTGGAACCTCTGTAAACATCTGAAATGATGGGTTTCGGGGAGCTTCCAGATTAGCAAACACATCTATATGCTGGGAGGGTGGGGCACGCCAACTTCACAGGGACGGAAGCTCCTGCACTCCGGACCCTTCCGGACTCCACCTTCGATACCTCTTCATTGAGATGTTCATTTGTACCCTTTATAATAGACTGTAATCGTATGTATAGCATTTTCCTGAGTTGTGTTGAGTCGTTCTAGCACTTATTATTTTACAGCCAGTACCAGTGATTCAGAATTTTCCATTAAGGAAGTTATTTAAAGTCTAACCTGACGTGTTCTCACAAGTTAGAAAAATTAGAATGTTTTCTCTATTTTTTTTTCTTATTTTCCCCTCCAATGTAGTTGATCAGTTCACTATTCTTTTTTATTGAGGAAGATTGTCACTGAGCTAACATCGATACCAGTCTTCCTCCACTTTATGTGGGATGCCGCCACAGCATGGCTTGACAAGCAGTGCTAGGTCCGTGCCCAGGATCTGAACCTGTGAACCCCGGGCCACTGAAGCACAGTGCACAAACTTAACCACTACACCACCGGGCCAGCCCCTAGTTCATTATTCTTTAAAATAATTTTTTATGTATTGCAGTCACATAGGTCAAGGCCCATCTTTCTTTTCCCTGTAGAATAATCCCAATTATTTTCACTTTTTCTCTTGCATCTATTTTCCTGTCTTTTATTTGTTTCTATTTTTCCCTGGATCCTCTCTCCCCTCTATGCCCCTCCTGATGGTGAGCCGTCTGGATGTCACTGTAATAGGGGTGACCGCCACTCACTGGAGTTCTCTGCTGTGGAGTCCTGCATGTGCTCTTCTGTATTTTGCCCCCTTTTTGTTGAGTTGGTACTACATTGATCTGTGTTTTCTGATTTTTCTTCATAGGATCTTGCTAAGAAGTACTCTGACAAGCTAGAATGTTGTGAAAATGAAGTAGAAAAGATAATGGAAGAAATACGTTGCAAAGCAATCGAGCGTGGCACAGGAAATGAACATTATAAAACGACAGGAATTGCTACAATTGAGGTATTTTTACCTCCACGAGTAAGAAAAGTGAGTAATTTCCCCAAATTTATGTAAGGTCTAATGTTTAGTTAATTTAGTGATGTGGTCAAATAAATTATGATTTTTCCTTAAACAGCTACAATCCAAAGTTAAAGTTCTTTTAAGTTATTTTACATGTTGAGCATTATCAACCGAAAAGTTAATTTTGTGGATTCTTAAACTGGAATATTTACAAGGTAGATTTGCGCCTCTTAGACCTCCAAAACTTTACAAAGCTCTGCGTCACACTTTTCTAGAGTTTGAGTGAACATTTAGAAATATCGGGGAATGAGAGAGTACTTGAGGTTTTCTAAAACGGCATGCAGCAGGAAAGGAATTCGTCCCTTTTTCTGTGCTGGCGGAGGTCAGAGGCAGTGTGCATGTTCAGGCCTCTGCTTTGCCAGTAGCAGGGCCCTGGGAAACCAGACTGCCAGTCAGAGCGCAGCGTGATGGGTGAGTGTGGAGGGAGCAGTTTGCCTGGGCTCACAGGCCTCCTGGTGATCCCACGTTTCCTCCTAAGCCCAGCCAGAGGAGAATGAAGAGGCCCCAAAACCATGTCCCCCTTCTCTCTGCTCAGTGGGCATAGTGAAGGGGATGTCTCTTGCACGCTGAGATGGCCCCAGTGCTGGAGCTGGTGGGCCGGGTCGTTGCGTAGCATAGGCCGGTTCCACTGAATAAAGGCTTATGACAAACCCCTCTGAGCAGAGGCTGAAGCCCTTCTCTGGGACCTCACTGCGCTCCCGTGACTGCACGTGGCAAGTTATGTTCAATGACTTCTCCACCAGGCATGTGCAGTCTTAGTCCTTGAGCACAGAGAGACCTAAGTATTTACGTCGTCTGATATCAACCTTTCTGATATTATAGACAGGGTAATGACACTGTCTTTTGACTTTTGACACAAAAGTGTCAAATTCAAGTACATTTTATTTTATTTGTCTTATTTTTAAATAGGATAGAAAAAACCGGTTGGAGACCCGATTGCACATCACTGGCAGGGAACTGAGGTCTAAGTAAGTATCTGTGCCCGCTGCCCCGGGTGCTCTTGGCCCTGACGTTGGCCCCTGTCATCCTCCGTGGCTATCCTGTGAGAGAGAGGGCAGGTATTACTAGCCTCGTTTTGGGGAATGGAAAACTGAGACGTGTTGAGGCTCACACTGGTAGTTAAGGACAAAGTGAGAACTCAAGACTTGCACCACTCTTCTCCATTTCCTGGTATACTTGAGATCAGATGGGAACTGCGTGTCCACCACCTAACGGGAACTTGATACGTGTTTGAATCAATGCGTGAGTGATATAAATAGGAGACAGCCTGGTCTTCCCCAGATCAGTAGCTTTGACTTTTATTCCTTAGTGTACTAATAACGTGCTATGACATTCAGCAAAATGTTTTAGCGAATTTCTGGCTGTTGGCCCATCTGTAGAAAGAAAACATACCTGCCTGTCACATACTAGTGAAATTCTAACTTTTGAGGCCTGGTTGGTTATTTTATCCACTTACACATTTTTAAATGGTAAGTGTTGTGAGTACCTCCAGGGCTAGACAGCCCACGTTTCTGAAGCTGATTTTCCTCATATTCTTCTTTGGTCTACATCAGGGCTGTTAGGGATGGATTCAGGAACGATTGTTCATTCAACACACGTGAGCAGAAGGTTGTGCGGAACAGCCCCCTATTGTGGGCTCCTCCAAGGAGACCGCAGAAGGCATAGGGAATGGCTTTTCTCCTGACATGCGGCTGGGCCTTCCTGTCCACACGGGTACACCACGCCACTGGTCTCCACTTCATGAGGAAACAAGTAGTAAAACAGATAGTTTAAAAAAGGACATTGTCTCTTAAACCATTTCAAACAACCGTCTGGTAAGCTGACTTTATTGTGGAGTGATGTTTGTGAGTCAGTAAATTGAAATACAGAGGGTTTCTGAGTAAAATGTATAAAATGGCTATCATAATTAACGAACAGTGACAAATTTGATTACCTACAGTTTTCATTGGTTTATTTTACAGAATAGCTGAAACCTTTGGATTTCAAGAAAGTTATATCAAAATTGTCATAAATAAGAAACAACTTCAACTAGGTATGTTATGGCAAAGTATGCAGAATTTTTAAATCAAGCTAATATAGAAATAATGACTTTGCATCTTTTTTTCCTCAATCTTCCTTTGTTCACAGATTTTAGTGGCTTTATTGCATATATAATCCAAAATCAGTTATTTCAGGGTTTAATAAAATAAAAATATAAAACAGAAAACAACTTTTCTAGTAAATATTTTCTGTTTTGTGCTGGTGGGGGAGAAAGACACTCACTATAGGCCTGATAAAATGTGGCAGAATGGAAGTGTAGATGTGCTGAGTGAAATAGGAGTTCCAGTAAATTCTCCCTGAGGGAGAAGAGCTAATGCTGAGTGAGGACAGCAGGGAAGGCTGCCGTGGGAGGTGTTCCAGACCGAGAGAGCCTCATGTAGGAGCCCAGTGATGTGAATTTGAGGAATTGAAAATGGTCCAGTATGGCTAAGTGTGGAAACTGAGGAGAGGGTAGTGCTTTTTAAGGATGGAGGGCCAGACAGAGGCCACATTGTAAAGGTTATAGCAGTGGTTCTCAGCCAGGGGCAATTTTGCCACCCAGGGGACATTTGGCAATGTCTGGAGACATTTTCGAGTGTTGTGGCTTGGTGGCAGGGCTAGGGGGGAGGTTGTGCTCCTGTCACTTAGTGGTTAGAGGCCAGGGGTGCTGCTGAACATCACGGAAGGCACAGAACAGCCCCCACAACAAAGACTTCCCCAGCCCACAGTGTCAGCAGTGCTGCTGTTGAGAAACCCCGGACTCTGTGAGCCTTATTCAGTATCAGAGCCTCTCTCCTAAGAGAAGTGGAGAGCCATTCGTGCTGGGGAGTGACACCCAATGTATCTGTGTTTTAAAGATCACTTGGCTGCTGTGGGGGAATGGATTTGAAGGAGGCATGAAAGGACTTGGGAGACCAGTTAGTTATTGCGGCAATTCAGGCAAGTACTATAGTCTAATCAGTTTCCAGTAGGTTCGGGTGGCCTGGAGAATCAAGTTCACATCCCAGCTTAGTGTAATGCAGCCTTCACAGCCTAGCCCTAGTCTTCCTTTCCAGCATCACCTCTAGCCATTTCCCATGTCTGTTATAGATGTCAGAGATGTCTTTTCACTGTCATCTAATCTCTTGTTAATTCTGTTTGTGGTATCCTTCATTGAGCAGAAATACTTGATTTTGATGTTATCATATCCCTCAATTTTTCACTTTATCGTTTGTGTTTTAGGAAGTTCTTTCCCTAACCCCAGAGCCGCAGGCGTAGGCTTCTGTGTTTTCTTCCTTTAGCTTAATCTGTATGAGTTCTTCAGTCTTCAGAGTCCCCCTTTATATATAAGGATCTGGCTTTATTTTTCATCCAATATCTCACTAAACTTGCTATTTCCACAGTGCTATTTGGTGCCCCCTTTACGTATATATTCTTTCCGTTTACTTGTAGGTTTTTTCCTGGGCCAGAACCATAGAGTTGTGTTTTTTTAATTGAGATATAATTGACATATACTATTATATTTCAGGTATACAACATATGATTGAATATTTGTATATATTGCAAAACGATCACCACAATAAGTCTAGTTAACATTCATCACCATACATAGTTACAAAATTGTTTTTTTCTTGTGATGAGAACTTTTAAGATCTACTCTCTTAGCAGCGTTCAAATATACAATACAATATTATTAACTACAGTCATATGCTGCGTAACAGCATTTCCGTCAATGATGGACTGCATATGCGATGGTGGTCCCATAAGATTAGTATCATATAGCCTAGGTGTGTAGTAAGCTGTACCATCTAGGTTTGTGTAAGTACACACTATGATGTTCATACAATGGCAGAATTGCCTAATGACTTGTTTCTCAGAACGTGTCCCCATCATTAAGTGACACGTGACTGTATAGTCACCATGCTGTGTATAACGTGCCCAGGACTTCTTATTTTTTATTTTTATATTTTATTTTATTTTTATTTTATAAATGAAAGTTTGCACCTTTTGACTGCCTTCACCCATAGAGTGTTTTATTTCTGTGGTTTTGTTATAGTTTTAAAATCTAGTAAGGTGAGTCCCTCTCTTGGCTCTTCTTTATCAAGGTGACTTGGCTGTCGGTGGGCCTTTATTTTTCTATATAAATGTTAGAATGATTTTCAAGTTTCTAAAAAAAAAAATCAAACTAGAGTTTTCCAGAAATGTGTTCAAATTTGTACATTTATAATTCATAATACTGTTTTGCTATTTTTAAATCTGTTTGCATGTGTATTTACCCTTTTTCATTTTGGTTGTTGTCTGCATCTTTGACTTAATTTTTGTTAGGTTTGTATATTTGATTAATATTTTCACAGAGCCACCTGTTGATTTTGTTAATATTCTCTTTCATTGATTTCTGCCCTTATCTTTATTTCCATTTCATGTTTGAGGAAACTGGGTCCTAGAAGATAAGTAGTTTACTCAGGGCCACAGAGTTGAAAAGGGCGAGAACCCGAGGCCTTTGCTTTGAACTGTTACAGTAAGCTACCCGTCCCAGTGCCCTGCTGCACTGTGGCTTCTCGTCCACTGCTGTGAATGGGGCGTACTGTTTCTCGAGCTAGAGGGTAGGAAAATTCATGGATTATGCTTTCTCATTTTCCTTTTATATTGCCTAGCACAGAGCTCTCCTTGTAGTAGATTCTCAAATATTTATTGCTTTGATTTGAGCTCTCCTTGTAGTAGATTCTCAAATATTTATTGCTTTGATTTGAGCTCTCCTTGTAGTAGATTCTCAAATATTTATTGCTTTGATTTGATCTTACGATGAGAATAAAGACAACTGGAAAGGATAAATGTAGTCAGCTCTGTGTTCCACTGGCTGATTTTATCCACTGGTTAGCAGTAACAGTTACACAAGCGGATTTAAATGTATTCTTACTATGTGGCATGGTGGTTCGTAAGTGCTAATACAGGTTTAAGAGTTCCATTTAACGTGGAGAATGGACTGTTACCCAGTAAATTTAGTAGCTTTTTTTATAATATGCATTTCTGATTTTTACAGGGAGAACACTTGAGGAACAAGGAGTGACACACAATGTCAAAGCTATGGTGCTCGAACTAAAACAGTCTGAAGAGGATACAAGAAAAAATGTCCAGGTTGAAGAAGACGAGCAAAATGAAGCCAAACTAAAAGAAAAAAGAATTCAGAGGACTAAGAGAGGACTGGAGATCCTGGCAGAGAGAGGTACACAGAGCTTTGAGCTTTCAGCTCACTCCAGGACTTAAGGTAGCAGCTGATCATGCCGTCGGGGGCGGGGGGGGTGTCACATTTCTCATTGGCTTTCCTTCCCCAGCAGTCTAACTTTTTTTTTTCCTTTTATTTATTTATTTATTTTAAATATTGGCACCTGAGCTAACAACTGTTGCCAATCTTCTTTTGTTTTTTTTTCCTTCCCAAAGCCCCCCAGTACATAAGTTGTATATGGTAGTTGTGAGTGCCTCTGGTTGTGCTATGTGGGATGCTGCCTCAGCACGGCCTGATGTGTGGTGCCATGTCCGCGCCCAGGATCCAAACCAGTAGAACCGTGGGCTGCTGAAGCAGAGTGTGCGAACTTAACCACTAGGCCACGGGGCTGGCCCTGTGTTTAACATTTTTAATGTCACCATCACTACCTTTTTTTTTTTTCTTCTTCTTCTTCTTCTCCCCAAAGCCCCCCAGCACATAGTTGTATATTCTAGTTGTGAGTGCCCCTGGTTGTGCTATGTGGCACATCACCTCATCATGGCCTGATGAGCTGTGCCATGTCCGCGCCGAGGATCCAAACAGGCAAAACCCTGGGTCGCCAAAGCGGAGTGTGCAAACTTAACCACCCTACTTTTTGACATTGAATTAATGGAGTTCCTTTTGGTTTTGTTGCAGCTGAGATGGTGGTGGATCCAGAAACTACCCCATACTTAGACATAGCTAACCAGACGGGCAGGTCCATCAGAATGCCTCCATCTGAAAGAAAAGTAAGCACTGTAAGAGATGTATGGCTTGTTCTTTGATTTGCTCTCAGAACAGAGGTTGTTTTCTGGTTATTTTATCTTGGAACGTTGTAAAAGATTAGAAACAGTTTTTTGGGTTATTTTCCTTTTAAAGATTTTATTTTTCCTTTTTCTCCCCAAAGCCCCCCAGTACATAGTTGTATCTTTTTAGTTGTGGGTCCCTCTAGTTGTGGCATGTGTGACGCCACCTCAGCATGGCTTGATGAGTGGTGCCATGTCTGTATCCAGGATCCGAACCAGCAAACCCTGGGCTGCCGAAGCAGAGCACACGAACTTAACCACTCGGCCACGGGGCGGGCCCCAGAAACAGTTTTCTGTCTCCAGCTCATACACGGAGAGTGTAGCCACACAGTGGGAAGTTTATACAGCAGGCTCAGCTGGTGATTTTAGTGCCGTGGTACAAGATGGCACCACCCCACTGTCCTGTGGCAGTGACTGAACATTCCCAAGTGATGTGACGCTCTGCCTTCAGCATGAGTGGCTTCCTGCGGGAGTGGCTGTTTGGCGTGGTTTATTTTACTAGAGGGACATGTCCCCTAAAGATGGATCAGAACAGGCGCTGGGGGAACCATGTAGTTTGGGAAAAGGATGACGGGTGGTTCTGCTCTCTCTCCCCTGGCTCCGCATTCCCCCTCGTCCTGTTCTAGAATTTGGAAAAGGTAGGAGGTGGTTTTACCTTTGAATATGTCTAGGGGGTCTTTATAGAAGCACTTTACATCTTGGACCCTGAGATCAATCTCTGAGCTGGAGTCCAGTAGCTTCTTAAAATGAAAAGCTCTAATGACTATGGGTCAAGTTAATTTTAATTTTTCTGTCTTTAAAGGAAAGTTTTGAGTAGGTTCCACTATATGAATTACTCTAAGGATTAAAGTTAAGTTTTAGTAAGAGAATTTTGTAGCTATCAGTGGATTGATGTTTGTTTTTTTAAATGTTGGCGATTGTTTGCCCACTGCTCTCTTTTATTAAATGATGACATCCAGATCTTTTTGGAAAACTTTACAAAATGGAATTATATAAAAATTCAAATCTAGGGGGCCGGCCTGGTGGCATAGTGGTTAAGTTCACGTGCTGTGCTTCTGTGGCCCAGGATTTGCAGGTTCGGATCCCAGGTGCAGACCCACACACCACTCATCAAGCCATGCTGTGGTGGCCTCCCGCATACACAATAGAGGAAGATTGGCACCAATGTTAGCTCAGGGACAATCTTCCTCAAGCAAAAAGAGGAAGATTGGCAACAGCTGTTAGCTCAGGGCCAGTCTTCCTCACACAAAAAAAAATCTAATCTAAAAATATTAATGAACTTTAAAAAATTTTGAATCAGTTTTTAAAAATTATTTTGGAAATACTAAAGTTGACAAATACTTTAGAAAAAACTTGATTAAGAGTAGAAAGTAAAATGAATGCTCTTTTCAAAAAGGATACAAAGAATATAAGCATTACTGGCTGCTTTTTTTTTTTTTTAATATGTTTAGTTTTACAGAATACTAGAAATAGATCCAAATCAGCAGATACTAAAATAAACTGGTGAAAACAGGGACAGGAGCTGGTTATGACCATATCAGCCACATTAAACAGAGTGCTTGCTTTCCGTGTTTAGGTGAAATAAAGCTTTAATTATGTTTTTCTCAATTTTGGCTTTTAGATTTAGTTGTGACCTTATACTTTATTTCTTTTTTTTTCTTTGATTTCTTTAGACTTAATATGTTTTTAATATAATTTGTTTTATTATAGTTTATAGTGATGTTTTTTTAAATCCTTATTTTTTCCTAGGCCCTTGTGTTAGCTATGGGATATCATGAGAAGGGCAGAGCTTTCCTGAAAAGAAAAGAATATGGAATAGCCTTGCCATGTTTGTTGGACGCTGACAGATATTTCTGGTAGGCACTTTTGTACTTGGTGAATACCAGTTTTAAGGAAGATGGCCCAAATTATACAAAGCACCCTCCCTCCCAACCCCCATACACTTCAGACTTCAGGTTTTCACTCAAGATGCTTAATGTAAAAGAGTAGTTACGGCGTAGACCAATTTGTGAGCTGTGTCTTCCCTTCATGTTTCTAATTGATCTCTCTTCCCCGGAAAGAATTTTATAAACATATGTGCTTATTTTTTTACAAGCATGTAGAATATCACATCTGTTTTTGTAATGTGTTGTCAGACTGAACTATCCATCATAAAGTCCCCATCAGCTTTTCACTTAAAGGTTTTGGGGTGGACATTGCTGATCATTCTCGAAATCCATTGTTTCGTTAGCAGCTGCAAAATGGAGCTACTTTATTATTCCCTCTGCATTTATTGCTGGAATTCTTTTGAAAAGAATTCTTTTTCCTCATTAGCTCTTTTCTTATACTGAGGTGCAGTCTGCACAGAGAGACAGAATAAAATACTTGGTTCTTTCTCCTTATTTTCTTACTTTCGGAATAAATGAATTGCTTCCTTGGCATCCTCCCAAGATGACATCACCAGTGAGGTTTCCTTTTCTTTTTTCTTTTTAAAGTATCAGTACGAGCTCATGGATTTTAACACATTTGACGTACTTCAAAACCCAGTGCTTAAATTGGCCATCTTCAGCCAGCAGGCAGGTCCTGCGTCCTTCTGACCTACTGCTAGTAGGCTCTGGTCTCTGGTGGCAAAAAGTGGTCCAGACTCATCTTGGACATTTCCTGCCCCAGCCCAGCAGTCCGCAGTTTCCCAGGGACTCCTGGTTCCTCTTCATGGGAAATGGCACAGGTAGCCTAAAATCCAGGCAATGAAATATTTGAAGAAGAGACATGATGTTTGCAAATAGTCAAAAGGAAACAACTTTGGTGTTATTTTTTTTTCCATTTCGGTAAATTCCTGAGGTATACTTCAAGAAGATAAATACAAATGTTGACAGTTTGATGACTGTATTGGCAGCTCCCTTGGATTTCAAGTAAACTAACTTAATCAAAAAGGGGCATTTATTGTCTCAAATATCTGGGAGGAGGAGGCAAAGCTGGAAGTAACTAGAACAAGGGCTTGGTGCCCTAGGGTTTTCTTACTCTGCCGCTTTGTTTCTCCTTCTTGCTGAATGTCGGTTTCATTCTCTGCTGCAGACAGCGCAGGCTGTGAGTTAGGTCCTTAAAATTCAGGTAAATTTCTCATTCCCTTCATAATTGTTTCTAATTTTTTATTTATAGTAAACTTTAAACATATGTAAAAAGACACTAATATAATGAATTCCCATATACTTATAATCGTGATTCTGCACTTATCAAGATATGGTTATGCTGGTTCATCTGTATGAGCCGTTCTCAGTTTTTTTTACTCTGGACAAATCCTCGAAATCATTTTCAGGTCTCAGGGAACCCCTGAATAAAAATAACTGTATCTTCAGTTCATGGTATGTTAATGTTCAGTAAGTAGTAGATATAATAATCCATTAATAATTGTCAGTACCTTTTTAAGGAGCAAGTGACATTTTTTCTGAGGATCTGTTTATTCAGGCCAACTTAGTTGCGTAAGTTTTATGTGAGTGCCCTCTCTTTGTCAGGATATCAGCTCTAAGGCAATCAGTAGTGGAGGGGGAAGAAACTTCAGTGGTTCTATTTCCTTTCCTACTTGATGTTTTTCTACTTTCTCCAAGTGGCTACAAGTTCAAGCACAACTTTCTGTTACACATCGAGGGGTATGGTATGGCGTATGACCAGGAGTAGTTTCTTTCCCTATTTAAAACTGAAAATGGGAGTTCTGCTTTTGGCCAAGAAGGAGTAACAAGGTCTGGATTTACTCTCTTACCTGAAACAACCAGAAAACTGGGCAAAATGTATGAAAATGTCGGTTATCTGACAATGCAGGACAGTTTCCCCTGATGTGGGGAAACAAACGAGGGGAGCCCTGTGATGGCCTCAGCTCACTGCCTGGAGAGAGCTTCCAGGCTGCAGTGCAGGGAGGAGAAACCCACGCAGAACCTCATGCCTCCCCTGAGCTGAAGAGACAGAGATAGGAATCTAGGGAGGCTGAAGCAGTGAGAGGGGTGCCCTGCCTGAGGGAGTGCATTGGAGAGTTTCAGGGGGTCCCCTGTGGCCCCTGAGTCATGATCAGCACAGGCATGGGGAAATCACCACCTGAGAGAAAAGAACAATCTTCAGAGTTCCCAGAGAGTCAAGAATAATTTCTGTTCCCACCAGCCAGAGTGGAAAACTTTGTGATCACAGGGCATTGGAAAGAGAATTCAAAAGGACATTGCCTCAGTAGTAAGACAAAATTAGTCCTAAAGGCTGCTCTGGTCCCACCTGACAAAGCTTAAGGGTAAGCCTTAAAAGGATCACACAGTTTTCAAGTAACACGTTTTTAACTGCTTCCCAGAGCTCACCTGTATTTATAGCAATACAGAAATATCCAACATCCAATTAAAAATTAACAGGCATACAAAAAAGCAAGAAAATATAACACATAATGAGGAGACAAATCAGTCAACAGAAACAGATCCAGAAGTGACACAGAAGATAAAATTAGTAGACAAGGACGTTAAAACAGTTCTAATGACCATGTTCTATATAGTCAAGAAGGTAGAGGAAGGGTGGAGTGTATATTTTTTTTTTTATTAAAGATTTAATTTTTTTCCTTTTTTTCCCCAAAGCCCCCTGGTACATAGTTGTATATTCTTAGTTGTGGGTCCTTCTAGTTGTGGCACGTGGGACGCCGCCTCAGTGTGGCTTGATGAGCAGTGCCATGTCCACGCCCAGGATTCGAACTGACGAAACACTGGGCTGCCTGCAGCCAAGCATGTGAACTTAACCACTCGGCCACGGGGCCGGCCCCGGGTGGAGCATGTTAAATAGAGACATGGAAGGTACACAAAAGACCCCATTGGAATTGAAGAGACGAACAATACAATGTCCAAGATGAAAAGCACACTGGGTGGGTGGGATTAACTGCAGATTAGACATAGCAGAAGAAAAGATTAATAAATGTGAAGACAAAGCAATAGAAATGATCCAACGTGAAACAGAAAAAAGACCCCCAAAAATGAAGAGAACATCCACAAGCTGTGGGACAACTTCAGACAGCCTAATATAAGTGTAATTGGAGTCCCTGAAAAAGGCAGGTGGGACAGAAAAAGTATCTGAAGAGGTAATGGCCAGAATTTTTCCCAGTTTGAGGAAAACTGTAAACCCCTAGATACAAGACCCTTAATGAACCTCGAGTACAAGAAATATGGAAAAAAGAATACCAGGCACATTATCATGCAATTCCTTAAAGCCAGTAATAAAACTAAAAATGACTTTTTAGCCACGCTTTCTTAAAAAGGAAAAAGGGGGGCCGGCCCCATGGCCAGGTGGTTAAGTTCACATGCTCTGCTTTGGCGGCCCAGGGTTTCACCGGTTTGCATCCTGGGCATGGACATGGCACCACTCATCAAGCCATGCTGAGGCGGCGTTTCACATACCACAACTAGAAGAACCCACAACTAAAAGTATACAACTATGTACCTGGGGGCTTTGGGGAGAAAAAGGAAAAATAAAATCTTTAAAAAAAAAAAAAGGAAATAAGCTTAGCTTATCTTTCTTGAAATTAGTATCTTTATTTTATGTAAAGCTTTAAAACTCGTGAGGCAAATCTAATAAATTTCTGTTAAATAACTGACTTAAGCCCAAATGGGATTTAATTTTTCTAAGGCTGGGTTGAGTAGCTTTTATTTAAATAAATGTACATTAATTAATGTTTTTAACTGAAAACTTATTGACTGTTGAATATTAAAGCTACTAAAACCATAAACCAAAGTAATATTAATAAAACAATACTCAAAGACACAATTTTATAAAAGGCTTTAAAAAAACCTTTTTTTCTGAGTGACACGATCAGCTTCAAATATAGCCCTAACAGTTTCAAATTATTATATACGAGTATTGATTTTGTAATCTCTCTTATAGGCCTATGTATGAATAAAAGTTATTTTTAAAACTAAAAGAATAAAACGTACCTCTTTAGCATGAGACCTGTGATTGGTTTTGGGGTTTTTTTTGCCTCACAAGTACTCAATTCTGGGTCAAACTTGTACCCATGATTTTATTTTTAACTGAAACGAGGCAATTTCTGGCCTGTTCTTGATGCTTACTGAACATGAATGAGCCTATTCACACATCTGAGACACTGAAAACTGTGGCAGATGTCCCTGCTTTCCTGTGAACGGCACGGTAGTCTTCTCTCACAGAAACAGGTGTCTAGCGATAGGTCAGCGAGCCTCACTTTGAGTGTGAGATCAGACCACAGTCCACAAGCTGCTTCCTCTTCCCTCGAAGTCAGGTTCTCAGGCTGAGCAAAAGATTGGGAAAAAGTACTCCTACCCAGTCAGACACTGGTGTGTGTGCATGTGTGTCAAATATGGTGTATGTGTCATAAAACATTCACAAAGAATAAAAATGTTGAAAGAGACAACAAATAAATATGAAAGTCCTTCTCTGATGTGTTTTCTTGTGCCCCGTGGATTGTCTCGTGCGAGCCCTGGAGTACAGCCCTTCCACTCAGTGGACTGCTGCTGTAAGCGTCCGTGACAACACCAGATTTCTTTCGGTTTTTCTTTTTTTTCCCAAGCAGATTTTGATGGGCAAGATGGGAAGCTTGAGGGCATGTAGATTTTGTAATTTTATACAAGAGCAGTCTTATGTTTAGTAGAATACCAATGAAGACAAACAGATGAGACCTTTAAAGTTTGTTAATGTATAAAATGCCTGGTTCCAAATGTTTTCCTTGCTTATTGAAGAGAGAGTTCAAACTTGAGACCTCTATTTGCATTATGAATTTCTAACAATCACAATTTAAAATCAAAATAAATAATGATGTTGACCATCTTTGTCAACATCCTGTTACCTTGTCTGTCTTTCCCTTTCTCTGGGCAGGGGTTCAGCCTGCTGCCACAGCTACCAGGTAGCATTTAGCCTGCACTTTGGCCCCCATATCAACTAGGCATTTAGAGTCTGGCATTTTCTGGATTGTTTTTCTTGCCTGCTTGAATGTAACTGGACATGAATGTCTTGTCAGAATCCTCATCATTTAAGGCATTCATAGTAAGTAGTGATTTTTTTTTTGGCGTATCTTTAAAGCATTGGTTTTCAACTTTGGCTATTCATTAAAATAACCTGGGGAGATTTTAGAAATACAAGGTCCAGGACCCACCTCCAGAGGTTTCTGTTAGAATTGATCCAAATGGGTCCCAGCATCAGTATTTCAAAAAAAAAAGAAAAAGAAAAATTCCTCACATCCGGGTGATTCTAATTTGCAGTCGAGGTTGGAAACCACTGCTTTAAAGCATGGTCTCCCTCTGTTCGCTGAGGGGTTCTGATGCTGTGGCCCCGATTTCTATTTCCTCCTGAGCCTCTTTCCCAAAATAGCGGGGTGGGGGGTGTGTTTGTGTCCTGAGGCATATGATGTTAAACTGCTATCCCTGAGCCCTAACTGCTTTTTCCCCTGAATCTGAAGGATTCAGATTATAAATATGGCTCCCTTCATAAACATTGGTATCTCTGTTTTAGAGCAGTCTTTGGAAATACGCCAAAAACTGGAAAGGAATTCCAGTATTTCACAAAAAGCTTTTTAATGCTGCTTTTCAGTAATGTCATTTCCTTTCTCTCCACCAGTGAGTGTTGCCCAGAACTACTGGATACGGTAGATAACTATGCAGTGCTCCAGCTGGATATAGTGTGGTGTTACTTCCGCTTGGGACAACTGGAATGCCTTGATGATGCAGAAAAAAAATTAAACTTGGCCCAGAAATGCTTTAAAAATTGTTATGGAGAAAATCATCAGAGACTGGTCCACATAAAAGTATGTTACTGTAATTTGTTTTATGTATTATTGAGCCCATTTCTAGAATTTTAGTTTATTCCTGTTAAAGTATTTAGACTGCTGCCAAAAGTTGATTTTTTATAGTAGTATGTAATGTGCTCTTTTAAAGCTATATGTGTATTTATTTTTTATATGTATGTTTTATATATATATATATATATTATTTTTTTTTTTTTTCTTTTTGGTGGGGAAGATTGTCCCTGAGCTAACACCTGTGCCAAACTTTATATGTGGGACGCCACCACATCATGGCTTGGTGAGCAGTGTTTGGTCTGTACCCGGGATCCGAACCTGTTAACCCTAGTCTGCCAAAGCGGAGCACATGTACTTAGCCACTATGCCACCAGGCCAGCCCCTTTTTAAGCTGTATTTTAACAGGATTGTTAAACGTTTTATAAGTTGGGCTGTTACTTTGGTCTCTGCAGGGTTTAGCACAGAGGAACACTGCTCTCTAGTCCTAGAACCCCACTGATCAGTCTGACTGAGAGAGCTGGTGACTGTGTTTGTAGAGTCTAATAAAAGATTTAAATGTGGAGAACAGATATTGTGAACAGTAACAGTTCACATGAATGAGTCACAGCTCAAGAACCGTGATTTGAATAAGGATTTTTCTAAGGTGATTTCCACAAGTCATCAGAATTCTGCTTGGGAATTGCAAGGCAACACACGATATTCCTGCTTTGGGTTTTTGCATACTTTCCTCTATTTTGCATACTTCCTTCAAAAGGGCCACTGTCCTGGGGGTCTGGAGAGAGGTTTCTGACATTGTTTCTTCTCTGTGGGACAGGGATGTCATTCTACCCTGAGATCTTCACTTTTGCCGTCAGCAATAGTGAAGATATACACATTTTAGTAATGCCATTTTGCCCTTGGGGAGATGAAGGGAATTACAGGTGTAAGTAGTAAAGACCTATAATTAGAAATAAGACAGTTTTATCCCTTTTTTCCCCCAATAATTTTAGGGAAATTGTGGAAAAGAGAAGATACTGTTTTTAAGACTTTACTTGCTTCAGGGTATCCGAAATTATCTCAGTGGGAATGGTGAAGTGGCTTGTGACTATCTCAGTAAGGTAAGCAAATGCACACTCCAAAGTTGTAACCATTTGCACCTACTTTTTTTTTAAATCCCCAGAAGTTAAGTATTTTATAAACTCAGTAGTTAGTGACTTGTGAGGAACATGCCTCTCTCGCCCATTCCCTCTCCTGCACATGTACCATAAACGTATCTGTATTTGTTAGGGTTACAGGCAAGATGCTCAGAAAGGCAGGGACTTTGATTGACTGCAAGTTTCCCTGTCCCTCATCTAGTCGGCTAGAGGTGAGCGGGCCAGGGCAGGGGAGCCTCATGTGGCAGCCAAGGCAGCGCCTGTCAGTGCCTCTTCCAGTCAGCAGAGGGGGCAGGAGAGTCCAGGGTAAGCCTCTTCAGAGAGGAGACCCAGAAGTTGCGCCTGTCACTTCTGCGTGCCATTGGCCTAGACTTAACCACCTGGCTACACCCAGCTCAAGGGAGGGTGATAAATGCCGTGTGCACAGCTCAACCCTGGGGGATTTTACTAAAAAAAGGAGGAGATAACGGACACCAGCCCCTCCCGCAATACTCAGCCTATTTTCTCATGTTATATTACATAAAGTCATGTGAGCAGAGAAAGTGGTGGCCGTTTGCGTTCGTACGAGTTGGTAATAGGTCACATTTAGAATTTTTATCTAAAATCTGACATGCCCTAATTCACATTGAGTACTGTCTAATTTTCCTTTGCCTTTAGCTTGGTGTTAAGCTTTAATGTTGCTATAGTTGCATGATTCTTATATTTTTCCCTGTCTATAGGCACATCAACTCTTTAAAGAGCTATATATCGATCCAACAAAAGTTGACAATTTGTTGCAGTTGGGATTTACTGCCCAGGAAGCCCGGCTTGGCCTGAGGGCATGTGACGGGAATGTGGATCACGCAGCCGCCCACATTACCAACCGCAGAGAGGTACCTTACCGTGGGCTCGGCGGCGCTTGTCAGCCTGTGCCTTTGAGTAGGTGTGCAACTTGAGGCAGAGCAGGCCTGTTTCTGAAGGGCCGTAGCTCTCGGATATGAAAGAACAGAAAAAGATAATTCCATAGTAGGTATTGACAACAAGGAACTCTCTATCACCTCAGACCGGGAAGTCAGGAGAAACTTGTCCCTTTTGATTGAGTCAGTTTTCAGACAGCACAATTTCCTTAGTTTTATTTCTTGCTATGGTGACAAGTAGTTCATAAGTTATCCAAGCAGTCTGCTTTCTCTTTTTTTTTACTATAGTATATTTCTAGAAACTGTTTTATAGGGGGTGTGTTTTCCCCTAGGGCCATTGTTATAATTTGGGATGGCATTCTTGCCTAGAAACATGTCACATCATAGGAACAATTAACATTATATTATGAAAGTAAAGGGACGAAACTATAGTCATTTAAAACAATTAGAAATAAGGGTTGGGGAGTGGGTGACATAGGGGAAGGGGATGAAGAGGTACAGACTTCCAGTTATAAAATTAATAAGGCGTGGGGGTATAATGTACAGCACAGGGAATATAGTTGGTAATATTGTAATCACTTTGTATGGTGACTGATGGTAACTCGTCACAGTGATCATTTCATAACATATATAAATATCAGATCACGATGATGTGCGCCTGAAACTAATAGGACATTGTATGTCAGTTATACTTCAATAAAAAAATAAACATTTAGAAATAAGTACAGTAAAAAAACTTTACAATTTTGGAGTTAGAAGGAATCTTACCATGTCTAATATGCCTAGTTTTACAAAAGAGAAAACCGGGGCTCAGAGTTTTCTGGGGTCATGGGTCAAATCAGTGGTAAAATCTAAACTAAGACTGGTTTTCTCATGCACTTTCTATATTGCATATTCCATTGGAGAATAGCATTCTGATGAGTTTTTACAAAGGGTTCTGAAAAGCCAAGAGATTTATAAAGTGGTGAAAGGTACCACTTCACTTCCTAAATAGCAAAAATAAATGTTTTTAAAAAAATAGTGGAGTCGTCTCAGACGTGCATTTAATGAATTAAGCTATAAGCCCTTGGGAAAAAGAAAGGAAAACAACTGTATATATAGTGCAGTTGGCCCTGCTCACTCTTCACTCAGTGGGTGTGTGTTAGTTAGGATGCTTTTGGTTGAAAGCAACAAAACGCCCAATTCACACTGGCTTAAACACACAGGAAAAAGGGCGGGGGAGGAATTTACTGGCCTACCTACTTGTAAAGAGCCCAGAGGTGGGATGGATCTCAGGTGAGTTGATTCACTGGCTTCACCCTGTCCCTGAGTTCCTGGTGTCTGTCCGTCTGTCCCCTCTGTGTTATCACTGTCATCCCATCACACTAAGAATATGGGTCCTGGAATCCTCAGAGAAATCCTGAGCTGCTCGCTGACTGGCCCCCCTTGAGCCAGCCACTGTGGCCAAGGGAATGCCGAGACCTGATTCGACCGGTCGGCCCAGACACAGGGAGCCGGGTCAGCCTCCTGCACCTCAGGGAGGGCAGACCAGGGCCGTGTCCCGTGGAGCATAAGCTCCCAGGAGTCTGCTGCCCTCTCAGTGCCCAGGCTCTGGGTTTGGGCCTCTCAACTCTAGAAGCTTGTCATTTTTGTACATTGTGGCCCTGAGTGCAGACCAGATTCGCATCTGGCCACAGAAACGGAGACTCAAGAAACCGAGATCACTTGCAGTGCTGGCGTCCTAAGAGGCTGCGAACCACAGCGTGGCAGCTGCTTCCTCAGGTTTTCACCGCTCATTTTGCCCATACGTAGCCGTTCACCCTGAGTTTAGGACATAATTCTCTCACGTAAGGTTTGATTCTACTGTACCCATGAAATACTTCAATGCAGTACTCACTGTCATTTCTTTGGCCTGTTGTATTTTTCTAATACTTTCTAAGAAAAGTATCAGAAAGTACTTTAATTTCCTCATGTTTATCTACATGACTAAAAGAAAACTGACTTAGACATTTGTAATTAAAGAAAAAGCATTCTTTGGGACTCCAACGTGTCAGATCTGAATTAGAGAATGCCTGAAGCCTGTGACTGCTGGATGGCAGGGTCTTTCTCTGCTTGAATGTTTTGCATGTTTCTTAGCCTTTTGAAATATAAATGGAAGAAGCTGGAATTGAAAGCAGAGGATGGGCGGGGTAAAGGCATTTTACATGGGGTGCATGTGTGAATAAAAGTCGAAATGCGAGTGACACAGAATAATTTTGCTGGCCTGTGTGGCTGGAGTAGGTGAGGGCAGCTTGGAGGTGTGGGGGCCAGGGAGTTGGAGGCCTGCCTGTGAGAATAAGGCACTGGGCCTGCTTGGATCGAGGACGGGGCCGCTCTGGGTTTGGAGTAGGTGGGTGAGATGACCAAGCCTGTTGCCTGTGCAAAAGGGGTTGGCGGGGGGAGACTGGCCTAGGAGGCAGTTAGAGGATGTCAAGGAGGTAGAGACAAGGAGAAAGGCCTGTTGCAGATGAAGTGGCGGTGAAGGGCGCTGGCTGGCAGAGCCACGATGCCATGGTCAGTCCGGGTTGCTCACTGGTAGGTTCTCCCATGTTGTGCACAGGAAGTTACGGTATAAGGAGCCCGCAGCCCTGGAAAGGCTTTGGACAGTTACTCTGTTCTACCTAGTCCTGCTGCTGGCTCGGCGTGTTTGGTTCCACGGAGACGATGGAAACTCACCTTTTCTTCCTAAGAGATGAGGCCACGTTCCTGCTGTCAGAGTGCAGAAGGGGCACTTGTTATTTGGGCTGAGCCGTGGAGGTAGGAATAGATATGGCAAAGGAGAGAAAGCTGTTTTCTTCGCTCTTCTCGCCGTGTCAGGGTGAGGACTGACCGTGTCCGGAACTGTGCAGAAGCCTGTCCCAGCTCTGTCGCTGACGACTTTGGCCAGCTCATTTACCTTTCTCCAGAGATTTCTGTCTTCTCATTGGCAAAATGATGAGGTTGGATTAAATTAATGGTTTTTAAACTTGTTTTAGTGTAGTTGTTTTTTAAGCAGCAAAATTCCTTTTTTTAAATATTTGTTTTCAAAATAAATTCAGAACTCTCCTGGCTGGGGCTGGGATGGGAGAGGAGAGGAGACTAGAGCCGGCCGCACCCCATCTCAGGCTCTTAGGGCACCACCAGACAGCCCCGAGACTCAGGCTTGAGAACCATGGGATTAGATGACCTTTGTCACCTGATGTTGAGCATCCTGGGAGTTTTAAACAGACTAATAGGCCCTAGAAGGCCCCTAAGTCTTTGCTTCCAGAGTGTGGTCAGTGGATCAGCAGCCTTCCCATCACCCAGGACCTACACACACACATTCAGAGTCACATTTTAGCAAGCTCCCAGGTGATTCATCAAAGGCCGAGAAGCCCTCCAACCCACACAGGAAGCTCTTCGCCATCCCTGGAAGAGGGCCCGTCCGCCTCCCTCTGGGACAGGCAGCCATGAGCTTGCTGGTGCCGATTGGCCTGTGCTGGGGCTGGGTGATGGTAAGTGTGAGGTGTTCCCTTCTCCACCTGGACTGAGGTCTCCAGCTCCCGCTGGTCTGCCCCGGAGCAGCACCCCTGGTCTCTGCCCTGGGAGCCCTCATGCGCTTACTGGGGGAGACAGGTAGAGAGAGGCTCCCCTCTCTTCCTTTGTTTTTCACTTTGCCTGGCAACCCTGGGAATCCTTCAGAGCACAGATTGAGAAGGCTTTCTACACACTCTCATTTCCTAACTCAGTGACTTTGCTTTTTTCCTAAAGGAATTGGCCCAAATAAGGAAAGAGGAAAAAGAGAAGAAAAGACGCCGCCTAGAAAACATAAACTCTTTGAAAGGAATGGGCTACTCCACCCATGCAGCCAGGCAGGCTCTCCATCAGGCCAGCGGGAACCTGGACGAAGCGCTGAAGGTAACGGCTCCCTGCCGGGCCTCTTGGCCTGCCCTGAGCACCTGCCTCGGGCCCAGGGCCCCCCTTCGGTGAAGCTCCCCTCCAGAGGGTGTCCCTCCCTGGTGCACAGAGCCCCGCTCCTTGAATGAGGGCCTTCCTCCTCATTCCTGGTTTGGATCTAAGGGCCAGAGCTCTCTTGTTCTCCACCCAGTGACAGAGCTAGAATGACGGGCCCCACCACAAGCCAGCAGAGCCCGCAGGCAGAAGTTTGTGTGAGGTTTCTGTTTGCAATAGGAGTTTAACAGTAACATGGAAGAAGAAAATGGTGATTAAAGCTTTAGTATAACTTTCTCAAGTTAAAATGTTTTATTTGAATATCTAGTTTTATTTTATTTAGTCAGTAGTAGTACATATTGGCAAAGGGGCTTTTTAAAGAAATCCTCAGGGGACGGCCCCGTGGCCGAATGGTTAAGTTTGCGTGCTCTGCTTTGGCAGCCCAGGGTTGTGCCGGTTCGGATTCTGGGTGCAGACGTGGCACTGCTCATCAAACCATGCTGAGGCAGCGTCCCACATGCCACAACTAGAAGGACCCACAACTGAAAATACACAACTGTGTGCCGGGGGCTTTGGGAAGAAAAAGGAAAAAATAAAATCTTAAAAAAAAAAAAAAATCCTCAGAAGTGACTAACCGGTTGGGATCCAGATGAGAAGGAACTGTACTTGGGTCCACTCCTTTCCAGTTTTTGTTCAAGCAGCAAATGGAATACTTAGTGGGGCAGGGGCCATGCTGAATCTCAGCAGGTGACTTGGGAGACACAACTTCCCGCAGGGAGACCCCCACACAGCCCGGTGGGGAGCAGGCCCTCCAGCTGAGTGGGGGACTCAGGAGCGGGTGGCAGATGGAGAGAAGCTCTTAGGCAGAGAGGCAGGGGCAGCGGGAAGGGCAGGAGTGAGCAGGACCTTGGGGAGCTGCCGGGGTTGTTGAGGCAGGGGCAGTGGGACGGGGCAGAGAATGGCCAGAGATGGGGCTGGACAGCTAGGCCAGGCCAGGTGGGCGGGGGTCATTTTGTTTGTTCTGCTGAGGAGTTCACGCTGGATCCTCCAGGCAGTGGGGGCTGCCCTACCTTTGCCTTTTATCCTCAAGACCTCCCATCCTGTTCCTTGGAAGTCCCCACAAGTCAGCACTTTTTATTTTTTTATTTTAAGGAAGATTAGCCCTGAGCTAACATCTGCTGCCAACCCTCTTTTTGCTGAGGAAGACTGGCCCTGAACTAACATCCGTGCACATCTTCCTCTACTTTATATGTGGGACGCCTGCCACAGCATGGCTTGCCAAGCAGTGCTATGTCCACACCCAGGATCCAAACCAGTGAACCCTGGGCCGCCAAAGCGGAACTTGCGAACTTGACCGCTGCGCCACCAGGCTGGCCCCAGCATTTTAAAATATATGTCCTTTTTGTTGTTGTTGGGGGATGAGGAAGATTATCCCTGAGCTAACATCTGTGCCAATCTTTCTCTATTTTGTATGTGGGACACCACCACAGTGTGGCTTGATGAGCAGTGGGTATGTCTGCGCCCAGGATCCAAACCTGCAAACCCTGGGCTACCAAAGTGGAATGTGTAAACCCAACCGCTATGCCACTGGGCTGGTCCCTGTATTTTTTAATTATAAAAATAGTACATAAATACATTCAACCAATATAGTAGTATTTAGTGTTTAAAGGGAGATGCCCTAAAAGGGTACTTTAAAGTTAACAGTAGGTACTGTGTGACAGAAATCAAAGGGCAAAAGAACTCCACTCTTCTTGACCTTTTAAATCCAGAGCATGACGCCTGCCAGAGAGAAATGACATTGGGCACTCTGCACTGCATAAGAAACCTTTCTGTTTCTAGCCTTTTGTGACCTGGTCCCCATTTTCTTGGAATCCTTCTGCCCTCGCTCTCATCCCTTCCTGCTTCCTCAGAAGCCGTCTTTGTGCCTGGCTCATCTTCACCCTTCAAACCTCAGCTTGGCTGTGACCTTTGGCAGGAAGCCTTCTCTGAACACCAGCCTCCTGGGCCCTAGCCTGGGTCCGGGTCCCTTTTCTCTGCTGCCCTAGCACCTTTTGCATAGTTCCCCAGTGTCCTACACTCATCTGTTTGCCTAGCACACACACTGGGCGCTCAGTCTCTAAGTCAGCAGATGTTGGTGCTGAGTAAAGGGGATTCCTGTGTGTTTTTAGATTCTTGTCAGTAATCCTCAGATGTGGTGGTTAAATGATTCGGATCCTCAAACCAACAACTGTCAAGAAAGTCCTTCCCAGGAAAGTATCAACCAAGTAAGTGAAATGCACTGGCGCCCTCTCCACATGTGCAGCCTTGCGCGGGCTTGGGTGGGGAGACAAGGTTGGTGACATGACAGGGCTGAGTCCTTGGCTCCCTGGGTGCCTGGTGTGGCCCAGGCCTGGCCGTGGGGCCTCCGAGGCCCACGCCGGTTGCAGCGGTGGGAGCAGAGCAGGAGGATTTCCTTCAAGAGTAGGAAGGAGGAGGAAGCAGCTGGAAGGTGTTGTTTCTTCAGGCTTTCCTCCTCTTTCATAGTCCACCACTTCAGGCACCCGTACTGGTTCTGTCAGCCCGTTTCTCCACCTGTGACCCAAAAGGATGTCACTGGTGACTCTGTCCACGTTTGCCCCCCTTCACATTAGTACACCTGGTGCGTGGTGGCCACTTAACTGATGGTACTGGTCACGAGGTTTGTATAGCACTTTGCTCTTGGCCCATGAGCTTACTGCCTTTCTAAGACGACTGGGCACTGACATAGTAGGCACAAGTCTTCCTCCATCCTGTCCAGGTCGCCTCATATGCCTGCTGGGGCTAAAGAGCGGTGTGTGTAAGAAGGCAGCGGTACATGCATGCTGGGGGTTTTAAAAACATACTCCCTCTAAGATAAGGCTGTCCAGCTGGGCATGCGGGGGACAGGCGTGTTGGACGTGTGTCAGCTCCGTGTAGCTGAAGTCCTTTGGCAGTGACCGCCACCTCCCTGTGTCCTCCCCTAGCTGGTGTACATGGGCTTTGAAGCGGTAGCGGCCGAAGCTGCCCTGAGGGTGTTCAGGGGAAACGTCCAGCTGGCAGCTCAGACCCTTGCCCACAATGGAGGAAGTCTTCCTCCCGACCTCCAGTTTTCGGCGGAAGATTCTTCATCAACGCCGTCCACGTCCCCTTCCGATTCTGCAGGTGGGTCTGAGGTGTCTGAATTCTGACCGAGAGCAGAGCATTCTGCTAAACCCGAAGCTGACCGGTGGGGGACGTGACTTCGCTTAGGCTGAAATGGGGACTGAGAAGGGCGGGCTCGGACAGTGTGGCCAGGGCAGGCACAGCCGAGGCTGACGCGGATCAGTGCTGTGTTTCTGTGGCTTTTTCTCCTTTTTCCGTTCTGTTCCCTGAACTCACTCATTACTCTCCTTTACTGCAGCTGCCTCTAGTGCCTCAACAGATGAAGATATGGAGACAGAGGCCGTCAATGAAATATTGGAAGATATTCCAGAACATGAAGAAGATTATCTTGACTCAACTCTGGAAGACGAAGAAATTCTTATTGCAGAGTACTTATGCTATGTAGAAAATATAAAGTCAGCAACCAAGAAAAACTAAATAATGAACAGAAAGAAGTACTAAGTTTCTGCTTATAAATCCTATCATTATGAAAAGCCTAATGCAGATCTTCTTTCTTTCTTCCTTTTCACCTGATTTTGCCCCAGTGCTGCTTGGGGCGGGCAGGGAACGGAGATGGACGAGGTCCTGAGAGGAGACGTGGGGTGGGAGCAGTGCTGGTCTCTAGGGGCCATCTGGGGGAAGGAGCCTTCTCTGGCCTGCTCTTGCTGCTTCCTGGCTGCCTTCAGATTCTGCGGCCCTAACTGTGCCCTCCCTGCTTGGATTTTCCACCCAGAAACGGGAAGGGCAGTTAGGTCTGAAAATAGGGTGGCCACTGGGGAATGTCTCCAGGAAGAGAATGGAGAGGGAAGGCTCCCAATCTGGGTCCCCCTCTTTATCTTGCCCAGCTCTCCTGCCCCCCTGAGCCCACTGCTGATCGTTTCCTTCTTTCCATGATGCAGCTCTGCCTTCCTGCTTCACCTCTCTGCCCTGTCCCTGAAATGTCCTTTAAGTCTTCAGCCATTCCAAGCGTTCAGTGGGCCTCCCAGTGAGGCATCGGCTACAGCAGCCATACCAGATGGCGGCAGGCGCCTTCAGCCTGAAACATCAGTGTTTTATGCTCTTAGTTTAGTGAAATGTGCACTCGAAATTCAGAATTTATATGTGCTCAGAATTCTTCTTTACAAAAATAAAATCTTTTATTAAATGGGAAAGTTAAATGCTAACCAAAGCAACTTATTTTTAATTAGCATTTTCAGACGCTATGCTGTCATATTAAACTCACTGCTGGCTAAGATAACTATCAGAGATTAAGATATATTTTCTCCAGATTTTTGTGGGGCTTTTTTGGTATATCTGTATTACAGAAGACTATTTCTAAAGGTATGTAGTTAGCCTCTTAATGGCTCAAATAACGGTTCTCATCGCACCACGCATTCCTCTGTAGATGTGCATTAAATGAACACCCATTCCAGACCAGGACACAGCTGGCAGCAGCCAGGTGCTGAATGAGTCAAGTGCCAGATGTTCCTGACACTTGCTGCCTTTCCAGGAGTCGCTGGAAGCTCCTGTGACTGAGGGAGGTGGTCACGTTGTTGCTGTCGAGGGGCTGGCTGAAAGCCGTCGACGTCCTCACTAATCGTTTTCGTAAAGCTTGGACAGCAGTCCAGGGTGAATGGGTGGAAATCTTTTGTTGTCATTCTTTTAAGATGGATGATACAGACAGAAATAAACGGTGGAAAATATATTCAAAAGTTGTCAGCCTAACTTTGCAGTAAGTTATTCAGACTCCTCAGCGTTCGCCATGGTGAACATGCCTGGGTGGTCTAGAGGCCCATGTGGAGTTGAGACGCTGGCTTCCTTGGGTTCTCTGAGGAAATCCATGCATCGCCAGTTCTGTCAGGAGAAGGTAAGATCTGAAAAGCTGGCTGGGCGGGGGCAGGGAAGACCCAGCAAGGAGGGAGAGCGGGGGTCCTGCTCCCGGTGTGGGAAGTGGCTGACAGTGAGACGATGAGGGGGTCTCTCAGCCTCGTTTGAGACCTTGTCAGACTCAGGTTTGGGGCCTGACTTGCGGCTTTTGGCTAAGAAGTGACTGTCTGGGCTTGGGCCAGGCGTGGCTTCTAGCTTCCCATGTGCTTTTTAATGATCAGAAGCAAAGCCATGCCAGCAGGTTCCTGACTGTGTCCATTTTCTCGTGAAGAGATGCAGAGAAGCCAGTTCAGAGTTGGGGACAGTTCCGGTGTCCACTATCCATAGGCAGGGCCGCCCGCCTCCACGAGCTGGGAGCCGGCCGTGGTCCTACCTCTGCCTCTAGCTGGAAACTAGACAGGCAGAGGCTGTCACTCTCTGCTCTGGAGGGTAAGAAGAGAAGCAAAAGACATTTGTGACAAAATGCTGATAAACAGAAGGGAGTGAGGTGAGGCTGGGAAAATCAGAGGGGCCTTGGAGTGGCTCTCCTTGGAGAAGAGAACATTCCAGACCTGGGACAAGTGAGGAGGTAACAGTGGGGTAGGACCGCCTGAGTGTGCCATATTCATGGGGTTCCGGGGGCTGTTCCAGACCCACCAGAGGGTGTTTTTAGGGGAGGGGAATAAGGTTGAAGAAATTGCTGAGTCCAAGGACAGAGCACCCTGAGAGGCAGGCCAGGGGTCTAGATCTGAGTGGCAGAACACCAAGGCGCTGGAAAGTTCCAGGGAGGAGCGGGCTACAGATATCTGTAAGGTACGCGTGGTCAACTGGAGGCCTGGGAGCCTATGGCCGAAACGTGCTGCACTCCATCGCGTCTGGTGCCGATGATGTTTCCCATGAAATTCTGCCTGCTCTTGGCTCGAGTGACACTGCTGTGTCCTGTCCCTGTTTTCCAGTCCATATGTCCTATAAGTACTTCCTGTCCCTTCTTCCCTAGCCAACAGAATGCCTTTGAAAATGTATTCTTGCCTTTGATAAATACAAACTTATTGGTCTGCTTTGTAGTCTCAACATCTAGCAAAGGCTTCTGTGTTGCTGAAATAAAAATTACCCAAAGGTATGCTGCTATATAAATGCTAAAGAGTGGTTTACCATTTCCTACTCTTTCTTTGGGGAGAGGCAGGCTGAAGATGAACGCAGCAGCCTGGTGTGGGTCCCGCACCCAGTGGCTGTTGCTCTGGGCATACGGTAACTTGTGTGTGTTTTCTTCTTTGTTGTGGTTGGAGGAGACGGGGGACCTAAGATGACATATGAGCAAGAACTGTTGAGGCAGGAATGCAGCATCAGCTGTCAGCGTCAATGGCGTCTGGTTACTCAAGTTGCCTCTGTCAGCAAAGCAATCTGAGAAGGTGACTCTGTGCCTGCCCTCCCTGAAATGAGCATCAGCTTCCTGGGAAGCCCTTTTGGGGTGGGCGGGCCCTGGAGAAGAACCACTTGGAAGTGAGTGCTCCCAGCCCTGGCAGGCAGCCCATGTGGAACCCCACACCTGTACTGTGTGTTTGAGTCCCACCCAAAGAATGCTGAGTGGTGCTGCCTCTGCAGCTGCTTCTCCCCAGCAAGCCTGTTTTCCTGGGGAAGCCTGGGTTCCCAGGGTTTGGGGGTGTGGCCTAGAGCACAATCACAAAGGTCTGCATCCCTTCTTATCATCTCTGGTGCCAATACTGTACCTGTTCATCTCATCATGTACCTGAGGGGGAGCGATCCACCCATTAGGCTCCCCCTGGGCTCGGGGGCAGGCGCAACCTGCCCTGCAGCACATCTTGCTGATGAAACCTTTTGCATTAAGGCAATGGAGCGCCCACTTCTCTGAATCAAGGGCCCCCTCTGCACAGGGAGGTTTCTGTCCTTGGTGAGCTGCTGAGCTCTAAGGGCAGACACTATCTTCTGCAGTTTCTCCTCCTGCACCAGAGGCCAGCCAGGGCCTGGCACAGAGGGCACTGTGGACGCTGGCACCAACCAAGGGCTGGAAGAGCACCCCCTTCAGGTAATGAGAGGAGTTACTGGGGCCGCTCCAAAGCTTGAGAGCCCGCAGCCATTAAGCTCCTCCCGACAAACACTCCAGCTGCTCTCGAGGGCAGGGCTGGGCTGACTCCTGTGTATGGGGCTAGGTGGCTACTGCTCTGGCCTTTCAACTCCAGACGTCAGAGAGGAGGCCCTCCTCCACTCATGCAGAAATGGGAGCTCCAAAGCAGGGGTAATGCATCTGCGCTGTCACCTAGACAGGCTGAAGAGCTGGTTCCTTGTTCCCCGGCCTCTTTCATGGCCCTCCCCACACGACTGACACTGGGGGGGCCATCAGGCCACAGCCCCTCGCTCTCACCCACGAGAAGTGGCAGGCCCAGGCCAGCTGTGAGGCCCCTGGTTCCTGGAATCCCTCCTCCCTCTGAGACTCAGTTTGCAGAACAAAAGACATATTCCAGAGCACTTTTAACGATGTGTATTTCGGGACAATTTGCCAAAATAACGACAATCTGCAGCTCAGCAGCTTTTTGAAGAAACGTCCCTGTTTTTTGTCAGCAGGAAACGCTTGTCTTCCGGGGACCTCGGGCGCTCGAGGCTGTGGGGCTGGACACCCTGAGAGCCGGGAGGGTCCCAGTGGGCCGGTGAGCAGGCCTGAGACAGGGTCGCTCTGGGGGTTCTCTGGCTGAAGAGGTTGGGGATGCAGAGGGGCGGGGTCGCAGCCTGGGCCGCCCCTCCCGCTCCGGCCATCCGGGCGGGCAGGGCGTGCTCCCTCCGGAGTCTGCCCGTCCGTCGGTGGGGTCAGGCCGGCTGCAGGGGCGCGGCGGCGGCGCAGCCCACCTTGTTGCTGAAGAGGCGCGAGAGGCTGCGCTTGGGGGCGGCGGGGCGCTGCGGGGCGCGCGGGAGCCCGCGCACGTCCCAGAGGCGCAGCGCGCCGTCGTGCGAGGCCGTGTAGAGCACCTGGCCGTGCACCTGCGGCGCGGAGCGGGGGCCGCGCTGCAGGGGACGCCCAGCTCTCCCCCGCCCCCAGCGCGTCACAGCAGCTGTCCCCAGTCCCAGGATTGGTACGCACAAGCCCTGCTCTGCCTCCAGCGGTCGCAGGCCCCGGGCATGGGCGTGAACATCCACTCCCTAGGCGTCTCACCCCAGAGACCTCGGGCTCGGGGAGGAGGCCCCGCCCCGCCCCTCCCCTCGAGGCAGACGGGCTCGCGCTCGCACACCCGACAAGCTCCCAGGGGCCCAGCGGACAGGCGGGAGCGCCTACCTGGATGCAGTTGATGATGAAGGCGTGCCCCCGGAACACCCTCTGCAGCGCTCCGGACTGGGCGTCGAAGGCGCGCGCGCGGGCGTCCCCGCTGCCTGTGAACACTGTGGACACACGGCGCCACTGGGCCTCCAGACCAGAGCCCTCTACCTTCTCCAGGACACCACAGGCCGGGGGGGCACGGAGGGGCAAGGTGGAAGAGTGACCTGGGACGCCTCCGAGGCGGTCAACTCGCCTCACTGGGACGTCATAAGGCTCAAATGGGAAATGGCAGGAGCCCCTTGAAAGGAGGGCGGCGGCACCCTCACTGTCTTACTACATTCTCGTGAGCTCAGGGTGACGAGTACAGGCGGCCCTGCGTAGCCGCAGCTGAGCTTTCACTGGGCTTCAGGGCTGCCTGCCCTGCCCTTCCAGGTGCTTCCATCCCTCCTGAGTACCGCCTGGGCCCAGGTTCCCACTCTCAGGCCGTATGGTATAAGCCTTTGAAGCTTGGCTTCTCTGCCGGTGTTTCTGGCAGCTCTGAAGCCGCTTTGGGGGGGGGGGTGGGGGGTGATCCCTTCCCCCACCATCTTAGCAGCCTAGGGGGCAAGGGCCAACCAGAAACCCAGTCCTCCCAGCCCTCAGTAATGAACTTGGCCCTCCAAACAAAACCAGAGCCCCTGGGGCTCTGGGGCTCATCAGGCGCCCTGCCCAACCTCTGACAGCAGCACGGCCCCAGATTCTGCCTCCCTTGGGCTTCTTCCTACTTTATAACTTAGTCCATGAGTTCTCAAACTCCAGTGTGCACACAACCACCAGGAGGGTTGCTCAGACACACAGTGCTGGGCCCACCTGAATTTCTGTGGAGGAGTCCGGGCTGGAGCCTGAGAACTGCCATTTCTAGTCAGTTCCAGGCAATGCTGGAGCCACTGCTCAGGGGCCACACTGAGAACACTGACCAGGGCCCTCCCTTGTGCACTTATGGTCTTGGCAGGTTTTCCCCGAAACCTGCCCTGACACTAGGGTTTGCATGCAAACAGTTACTTGGTTCGGCATTCCAGGAAGTGGGGAGAGAGACAGGAAGGAAGGACACCCATACAGGACATTGTTAGGCGGTGACTGCTGGGGGCCCTTGGGAGAAAGTGCAGACCACATCTTAGAGTTGTCAGAACCGGGAAGAAGGACACAGAGCTATTTATCAATCGACTCCCCTTAACCACTGGTTGAGGGCCTCTCTTATGGGTGTCAACTCCCAGCCCTCCTTTGACCTGCCCCTCCCAGGAAAAGGCCCTGGGGCAGGGGATCTCAGCTGCTGCAGCAGGAAGCACCCCTGAGCAGGGGACCCACAACATCTGCCACACCCACCCAGCAGCCTGAGCAGGAACAGCTGACACCCTCTGGGGCACCCTAGCCTCGGGGGATCTACTACTTATCCCCTTTCCTGCATCACCTGCCTACTCCCAGCCGGTCTGCAGAGCTACAGGTGAATGCGGCCCAGGAGAGGAAGTTTCATGTCAGGCCTCTTCAGCACCTTTCCTGCCTTCCCCTCACCAACTCTGTGGCTGCTGGGCATCTCGTGGGTGGGAAGCAGATCAGGAGTTAAGTTGGATCATCCTGTGACCCTTGGCAAAGACCAAGAACCCAGTTCCTTACTAGCGGGCAGCAGGTAGGGTCTGTGGGATTCGCTGCAGTGGCAGGTTCCATCCCGGCTGCTGCCGAGGGGAGGCAGCCGAGGCAACATTCTTCTTTCTAGAGGTCTGCAACTTGGGAGCAGAGCCGTAATCACACTTACAGGTTTGGACACAGGAAGAAGGAAAAAATAACTTTTCTGTGTCAGACGCCTAAATCCCAAGGGCGTCTCAGGCTCTACTTTCAGAGATGCACACGCTCCCTTCATCTAACACCTGTGTCGTCAAGCCAACCTGGATTTCCCACTGCGACGACTCTGCCCCTCGTCTGCTCCCCTGCTCTAGCACTACAGATGACTCTCGGGCTCAGTTCCGGGTGGGGCCAGCTTCCTGCTGCTGTCAGGGTGTGTGTGTGTGTGTGTGTGAGAGAGAGAGAGAGAGAGAGAACAGGGGGGAAGGGAGGGCTGATGGCAAAACAACATTGGGGATCATCCTGGGAAAGACGTTCAGGGCCCTGGGAGCCCCAGTGCCATGGAGGGGTGGCGAGGTTGGGGGGTTTGCTTCCCCAGAACAGTGTCTGTCTTCTGGGAGTCTCTAGGGTGTAAACATGTGGCAGACCAGTTGGACAGAGCCAGCGAAGCCCAGATGTGAGACAATTTGAGACCTGTGGGACAGCTTCTTGCCTCCCCAATAAATCATTCTGCTCTTCTTTCTTTCTAAAATAATCCTGATTAATCCTGGCTGCAATGTCCCCAGATAAGAGATTGTATTATTCTCTCTTGCAGGCAGTAGTCAGATGTATGCAGAAGTCTTTGGGTAGGGCTTCCAGGAAAGATCTTTAAAAGGCCTACTTAGCTAGGACATGCGTTCTTTTGCCCTTCCCTCCTCTTCTTCCTGCCTGCCTAAAAGATGCTGTGATGGCTGGAGCTCTAGCAGCTTTCCTGAACCATGAGGCCCCGTTAAAGATAGAAGATATCTGCTGAGGATGATGGAGCAAAGTGATGGAAGGAAGCTGGGAGCCTGATAACTTTGTGGAGCCATCCATTCCAGCCTAGACTGCCAGTCTCTGAAATTCTTCTACCTGAGAGAAAAATAAACCACTCTCTCATTTAAACTACTGTTATCTGGGTTTTTTTCCTCCTATCTGTAGTCAAACCTAATGCCAGGTGAAGCCAAATCCACGTGGACTTAAGTCTGGATGGAGTAAGTGACATCACTGTCTTACTTTGAGAACTAGAATGTGGCCCTGAGACATGCTCTTGACCTTAGGACCAGTGAACATTCAGGTCGCTGCACATTCTTATGGGGCCAAGGTGGGGAGGAGCCCTCACACCCTTATTTGCCCTTCTTTGTAAATAACTGGAGGAACGTGTGCATGAAGGAGGCACAGCCACTGCCCCTGGGCCCTGACCTGCCGGGATGGCAGCGAGGCTCAAGGAGGGACTGGTCGAGTAAGAAGTAGAAAAGCAGAGCGGCCCTTTGCGGGGAGGATTTGGTGGGGGGCGAGGAGTGAAGGGGACAGGCAGCGACGGCGGGGCAGGGCAGGGTGGGGAGGGCCAGGAGCAGGGTCACTTACAGGTGCCCGCATGGTACTTGAGGGCGCTCACGCTGTGTCTGTGGGCCGCAAACGTGCGCACGCGCTCCCCGGTGTCTGCCAGCCAGCACTTGACCGTCCTGTCTGCGCTGCCCGAGTACACGTGCCGGTTCGCGAGCTGGGGGGCGGGGAGAGGGTCGGCACCAGACGTGGGTACGGCCGCAACCGGGCAGCTGGGCAGCTCCCCAAACCTCTCTGTGTGACGGGGAGGGGCATGGGCGGGGCTCAGGGGAGAAGCGGTGGATGAGCCCAACACGCCCCCCCAAGGCCCCCCATCCCCCAGCCCCCGCTGCCCATCCCTTCTCCGCAGGGCAGCGTGGGGTCAGGCAGAGCCGGCTGGACTGTCACCAATCGCTTGGCCAAGTCAGACTCTGCTCCTCAGCTACTTCACCTGTAGTTAAGGATCAGGCCAGCCCCTTCCTCAGGGGAGACAGATCCCACCCGATGGCGTTCAGCACCACAGGAGCAAGGACCCCGGGGGCTGCCCGGATGGTGCTCAGCACCACAGAAACAAAGACCCCCGGGGCTGGCCAGCACTGACATCATCGCTGTCAGGTGTCTTTGGCAGTGCCCTACTCAAGAGCAGCTTGGTGCCCGGGAAGGCAACCGTGAATCCATACCTACAGCCACCGCGAGACTGCACCAGTTGGTCCCTCGTGTTGTCCCGCCTGAAAAAAGGGCTTCCAGGGCAGGGCTTTCATGCTAGACTTCTGCTTGTGGAAGGGCAGAAAGAAGAAAGTTCTAGAAGTAAGCTGACTGGCTGTGGTATGTGTGAGGGCCCATCATGGGGTCCTGCGCCTGCCCCTGGGCTGCCCTGGTAGGGAGGGAGGAGGGCCCTGGGGACAGGCTCCCCTACTTCCCGCTCACCCAGCCAGCTGCAGGGCATTCACACCCTGCTGGGTGTCACAGGAGGTAAGGATAGGGCCCGGGGGAGAGAGAAGGGATTTGGGGGGCACCCCTCACAGGAGCGTCCCCGCCAAGATGGACAGTGTACTAGCCCGAGGGAAGAGCAAAGACTGTTAGAGTAATTCCGCCAATTTCCCTAGAGAAACACCCTGCAGCCACGACAGCTCCCAGCCAGCACCTCTGGCTGGTGGAGGAGAAGACGAGAACCACAGGCCAGGCGGGGTGCGGTCCTCAGCTGCAGTTAGCTGGCTGATGACACAGGGCCTCCCTCTCTGCAGGGCCCAGGAAGACGAGGGCAGACTAGAAGCCTCAGAAAGAGCCATCTGTGACACTGCTGGGCCCCGGGGCCGCTGGAGGCTTAGAAAAGATGAGGCCCTTCTCCCAGGGGCAGCAGGTGGTGGGCCTAGAACCAGTCCAGGCTGTCCATCAGCATCCTTAATGCCCTCCTAGCTCAAGTACACACCTGCCCATCACAGTCACACTGAGCCACTTCCCACTGCAGTTCCTGTGGCTGACTCAGTTTCCCCATAATATTTACCAGTTTAAATCCAAGAACAGGGCTACAATTAGCCCAGCTCATCTTTCCACCCCAGCCACAGCACAGGCCGAACTTGGCCTTGAGCTAATCCCTCTGGCAGAGGGGTGCAATCTTGAGGAACAGGTGCAGCCTCCTTGAGGCAGAGGCTGGGGGTGGTCTCCTGGGGATGGAGTGGGAGCCAGGCACGCCTGCCACCTCTCAGGCTCTGCCCTAATGTCCCACCAGGTTTATGACCAGCCCAGCCAGCAGGGCCTGGCTTCTGGCCTCTCTCGTTGGCAGTCCACTCCCCTGGGACAGGGACGCGTGTGACATCCACACACCTGAGGGGCTCCAGCAGGGTCCAGACCTCACTCAGTCCTCTCACCATCTGCACCACCCTCCAGGAGCTTGGTCCCCGGACATCGACGAGGGCAGGGGCAGAAAAGCCAGCAGGGCTTCCCAAGCCTGCTCCGCACTCCCCTACTCCACTCTCAGCCTTCCCAGCCCCTCCAGCCCAGTGCCCGGATGTGGCCTGGCTTCTCCAGGCTCACCTGTGTCCTCACACCGTCCTCCCCAGGTTTCTGACAAGTCCTGTCTGCCCAGAAAGCTCTCCCACACTGATCCCCCCTCACGCTTCATGAGCAAGCCACCCCCCGGGTCTGCTCCTCATGCTGCCCCCAGCACTGTGTCTGCATCCTGCCCGCCAGGCTGACCGCTGTTGGCCCCAGTGTCTCCTGGCCGTGCCCCACCGTCACTCCTGGAGGCAGCCCCAGGCGTCCAGTGACCACGATTCCAAACCACCCGTTGAGACGCGTGGACCTGTAACAAGGGGAGCGGGTGTGTGCGAGGCCAAGACCCCACTCCGGGGGCCACCCAGGCCACGCGGTCCCACAGCCCCGCCTCCACGCCGAGCATCCATGGTCGCCTCCTGCTCCCCCCACGGCATGTCCTGGTGACGCAGGGCATGTCACACTGTGTTTAAAAAGTGAACAAGCAGCACACTTTCGAAGTACAAGCCCTGAGCCCGGAGGCTGAGGCACCGCTCCAAGCATGCTGTCCTTGGCCGGCTGAGGCCTCTGTTCGCTTTGGCCTGCTTCCTGGAGGGACGCCCATGGGGAGCAGCAGGGCGGCCAGGGAGGCCAGGGGAGGCCCAAGGCAGATGGGGAAAGCAGGACAGACCCCAACGGGAGCACATCACAAAGGCCAGTCCTGCAGGACGCCCTGCAGTCAAGGCAGCTCTGAGGGGACGGGGCTCCTGGGCCAGCTCCCTGCAGCGTGACCCATCCAGGCGCACGCCGGACAAGGCGGGCGGCCTGACTGTGCTGCCGAGGCCCCTGGGATGCGGGTCTCTCCCCTGTTCAGCTCAGCTCACGGCAGCCCATGCACCAGGGCAGGGAGGAGAAGCAGCTGGGCTGTGAGCAGGGCTGGGCACTGGACATTCTGGCTCCTGAGCCCAACTGTGGCAAGAGGCTCCCCCACTCCGGCATGGCACGGCCGGTCACACCCTTACACGCCGCTGGTTACAGGCACAGGCTACATGTTCGGTCCTGGGTTCAAATCCTGTCTCTGCCCCTTACCAGCTGTAACACTTTGGGCAAGCTGCTTACCCTCTCTGAGCCTCCATCTTCTCAAGTACAAAATGAAAAAACATCATCTCCCTAGAAGTGGCCATGAGGATAAATGCGATAATGCATACAGCCTGGTCCAACATGGGAGCTAGTACCTCCCCCTAAAATGCAACAGCAATCTCTGCCCCCAGCCCCTCGGGGTCTGGCAGGACAGTGCTTTTGCAGGAAAAGAATGGTGCACCTCGACGATGCCGCAGAGAACAAGCGCTCCCCGCTGCCCTCGGGCTGCCCCCAGACCTGGCAATTCCTCCCCTTCTCTCTGGCTGTATTCAAAATGTTTATTTCTTTAAAAAGATATGAAGTCAATATGACACAATGCTGATATCTCATTTCACAAGTGGGTACATAGCTGTCTGTTTTACTGTTTGCGTTAAAATGTTTCAGAACTAAAATTTTCTCTTTCTTCACAAGGAGCAGCCAGTTGAGCCCCGACCTTGGGAGCTCCTCTCAAGAGAGGGGAGGGAGCAGCCCCCTCGGTGGTCAGTGGGCTTGACTTTGAGTTTCTTACTTGGAAGCTGGACCACCCTTTTCAGAGGAGGCCTGTGCACTCCTGGCTCTGCCCTGACCTGGCTCCTGGAACCCTCTGGGGTTGGCGTGTTCAACCCTGGATACACGTCCCATAATGAACGGGAAAGGCAGAGGCCCCTCAGGGCTTGGCTGATTTCTCAGGCCTCGTCTCTGCTCCTACAAGGCCCAGAGTGGGCCGCATGCCTGCAAGGAGGCGGGGGAATGCTTCAGTGGGGACCTCGTCCATGTGGGGCCGACAGGTTCAGAAGCAAGGCATAAGAGGCTGTGTAACTCTGTACAGTTTCCTCGTTTCTTCCCCGACCTCTGAAAAGGCAGCCCACAAATTTATCTCAACACACGGTGGGCCTGACCCGTCCAGCACGAACAGTGGAAATACCACAGCTCCACGGAACAGGCTCCCTCAGAAGCGAGTCGATACCCCACACTCATCCTAACAGGAAAGTGCACCTCTCAATCTGCAAGCACGAGTGCTTCCTCAGCAAAACAGCACCAGGAGCCAGGCTGCTGGGCTCCCAAAACCATCCAGGGGGCCCAGGATGCTCCTGGGGTCCCCAGTACCCGGGAACCCTTCCCGTCTGCAGTACGTCTGGGAAGGCGCCGTGCTGGGAGGGGTGGGAGTTCTGTGTGGTCCCTTAGAAGACATCATCTCCATGTCGCAGGTGCATGGCCCTGGGTGTGACACGCAGGGGAAGGGACAGAGAACGGGAACTGACGTGAACCCGAGGGTCGCCTCCTATTTGGAGAAGGTGAAGGAGATGGGTGCCTCGACTCCGCGGCTGCGCTTCCCACTCAGACTGGAGATGACAGCAGGGTTGCAGTGAGGGACCCACACAGCAAGGGTCTCAGAGGCTGGGCCGAGAGACTGTCAGGTGGCCCTGAAAGGTCCTGAGTGCCAGGGTGAGGCGGGGAGCCTCACAGAGGCAGATCAGGAGAGGCGGGCAAGGCGCCTTTGCAGCCCCGCGACAGGGAGAGGAGGGAATCCTGAAAGTGGGCAACACCAACGCAGAGACACCCGCGCATCGACGCACGGGCATTTCCCAAGTCACCGTACAACCAGACTTCACACCGGGGAAGCGACAGGAAACAAGACACGGAGACTCGTTTATCTAGTGTCCGAACCACAGGAAGTGTTCCCCCGCACTCCCTAGGGCCGTGGCGTGCGAGGCAGGGTCACAAACGCCACCTGCCGGGCATTGTGCAGGTCCACCGTGGAACTGCTTCTCTGGAAGGTGCCAGGCGTCCACTGTGGCGATGGTGACCCTGGCGCTCTGTCAGGCAGGACCCTACCCCCAACGGCTCTCGAAAATGGGGGCTTTTCTACCTCAATTCCACCTCGGGGTGAAGCGGGCTGTGAATTAATACCTAACTAACTAACCAACGAACCAAATAACGGGACGTTCACTGAATCACGCGCTGGCTGTGCGAGCGCGAGGCTGCCTTTGTGCCAGGCCCTCAGACACTGTCAGGACCGGCCTCCACGAAGGCGCCCGGTTCCTCCGACGGGAAGCGCTCTCCCTGCTCCCAGCTCCGACCCCAGGGGCCTCCACACACTCCACTGTGCCCGTCTGCACCTGGCCCCACGCCACCGCCCAGCAAGGCCCTCTCCCCATGTACCCCCCGCACCCTTCACTCCCTAACTGGGACCTAGCCTGGTTTGTGCTTACGGGAGCAAGACTGACTCCACCCTTGGAGCACCCCACAGCGGAGCACCCCACCCTGGAGCACCCAACCCTGGGAGTTAGCCTTGCCCTGTGGTCCTGCAGTCTCCTGAGCACCCTGCAGAGTGCCAAGCCCCCACCAGCACTTTACTCCCCCATCACTCATTCACTTCCCGTTGCTGTGCCAGGCACTGGGCTCCATGGCCTGGGGCTGACCTAGCAGAGGAGACAGACTCGCTCTTGGCTGGTACCAGAAGTTCTGAGCCAGCTGGCTGCCCAGAGACTCGCTCCACCCTTCTTCACTGACCCAAAGCCTGTCCTGCCATGCTGTACCCAGGACACCATCCCCACTGCTCCCTGCACATCTCTGCCCATCATGCACAATGCTGCTTCCCAGATACCTGCTGGGGTCCTCTCTCTGCCCTCCAGCCACTTCAAACCCTGGAAATTAGAAACCATATGGCGGACTTCCAGCTAGGTCCCCTCCCCCATCATAATGTCCTCAAGCAGGATCTGAGTTAGAAAAATGCCATTTATACAACCAAAAAAGCATGGCAGGGACCCAGCTGCTCTGTGGTTCACCAGGGGTCAGAGGTCATTCCGCCCAGGCGAAATAGAGCCCTTCCTTACTCCATTGTTCCCGGGGTCCCAGGGCTGCCCTTGACCCCCAGAACCCAAAATGGGCCTCCTGGTCTGGCTCTCCAGGGGACCACTGTACTCGGCTTCCTGTTGCCTCGAGCCCACCCCCAGTGCTTCATTTGTGGCTTCTCAGGTGCCACTCAGGGCTGCACCCCAACCCGCCCATCTCAGGCGTGGAAACTGGCCTGGGGAAAGGAAGAAGCTGGCCAAACCCCGGCCAGGAACCCGCAGATCCCAATACCTAGACAGAGGGAGGGACCGTATCCAGCAGACACTGCCGGCCAAGCATGGGCAGCACAGCGCTGAGATGCTAAATAGCAGCAACGGCACAGGCTAACGGGCGTGAGCACACGCCAGGCAGCAGGCCCCACGCCTGTCTGCTGTTAATTCACTAAATCCTCGCAACCACCCAGGGGCGGGCACAGCTTCACCTCTGCAATCCCTAATCCAAAACTTTGAGGCCTCACGTGTTTCAGCATCTTGTGGATTTCAGGAACACACTCATGTTTCCGCAGCACAGGGAGGCATACTCCCAGGATGTGGGATGAAGTGAACCACAGCAAGCCTCGTATGTGTTCAGGTCAGGCTTTGCTGCCAAGTAAGTTTCAGTGCCAAGCCTAAGAAAAAAACTCTTCATGTTTTGCAACTCTCGGATTTAGGAATTATGGACTAGGGGTTGTGGGTAGACATAACCTCACTTTACATGTAAGGAAACCGAAATTCATACACTGACAACAGCCCTAACCCTGCTATCTGTGAATGTGACCATATTAGGAGACAAGGTCTCTAAAAAGGTAATTAAGTTAAAATGAGGTCATTAGGGTGGAACCTAATCCAGTATGACTGGTGTCCTCAGAAGAGGAAATCTGGATGAGAGGGAAGAGCACATGAGGACAGAGGGAGAAGACAGCCGTCTACCAGCCATGGAAAGAAGCCTCAGGAGAAACCAACCCTGCCCACACCTTAGTCTTGGACTTCCAGCCTCCAGACCTGTGAGACAACCCGTCTCTGTGGTTGCAGCCCCCATGCCTGTGGTCCTTTGTTACACAGCCTGAGCTGACTAGTACACTGGTGTAGGGCAGCAGCTCAGAGATGACCCCGGGGCTTCCCTAGCAAAAAGGCAGGGGCCAGGCAGTTCTCACCTCCAGACAGATGACAGAGCCCTGGTGCTCCTGGAATACCCGCAGCTGCTCCCCACTCAGGATGTCCCAGGCTCGGATGGTGGCATCAGTGCTGCCGGTGAAGGCCGTGTGGCTGGGCGTGTCCAGCACCAGGCAGAGCACAGCGCCTGTGTGGCCCCGCAGCGTCTGGTGGCAGCAGCCACTGGCCACCTGCCACACCTTGGCCGTGCCATCTGTGCTGCCCGTCACCAGAAGCCCCCCAGCCACGGCCTCCTCTACACAGGGAGCCCCAGGGAGGTCCCAGGGAGCACAGTAGGCTAGAGTCAGCACACAGTTGCGGTGGCCCCGGAACTCCCGGGACACCTGCCCCTTGTCCACACTCCAGGCACGAGCTGTCCGGTCATAGGAGCTGCTGAAGAGCTGGTTGTTGGCGACCAGGATTCTGGTGGCAAGAGGGGAAAGGTCAGGGTCAGCCCATACAGTGTTGCCCTGCAGACTATCACAGGATCCCTTTGGCTGGTGTCTCATGTGTTCAATGAGCCCAGGTGATGGGAAGCACAAACTGTTCCCAAGGAACGAGAGATATGAATCTGAGAAAACCACAGGGCTGGGGAATCCAAGCCCTTTGAATCAAGTGTGACAGTGGGGGTACCAGGAGAGACCCCCTGGAAATGTCAGGGACCCCAGAGAGAGCCTCAGCCTCTGGGCTTCCACCACCCACAGAACGAAGCCCAGACTCAAGGCGTCCTCGGTCACTGCCATCCACACCTCTACCCGCCCCTGTGTGCACAGCTGCCCAGGCCATAGATCAGCCGCCTCAACGCATCAGCTGGAAGAGGCTCCCCTCTCTCCACTCGTGAGTGGAGAGCCAGCCACACTCACCTTGCGTCCAGTTCAAGGCACTCATTCCTTAACAGCACCCAGAATTGCCCCCAGTCACCCTCCTGTCTGAACCCCTCCACATGCTGGGCCCGTGGTCCACTCAGACCCTCGCCTCAGCAGGGACCAAGGCTCCAATGCTCCCTCCCAACACCTCGCCCGGAGCAGCTACTCCACAGCTACGGAAGCAGGGGCAAAGGGAGGAGGGAGAGAGGGGAGGCGAACAGGCAGGGAGACGGACCCTCCCGCTTTGCCCAGAACTGAAAGGTTTCTGGGGACGCAGGACTTGCGGTTTGAAAACTGGGCAAAACGAGACACGCTGCCACCCCAGGGTCAGGTCAGACTCAAGAGACTGGGCAGGGCACTTCCTACTGTTCAGCCTTGGAGGAGCTGGCCAGCCCTTGCTGTCGCTCTCACAACACTGGTCCCAGGATCATGCCCATGGGTGACCTCCCCAAAGGTGGGACCCATGGGAGGCACAGTCAGACAAGTCACCGTGCAGCTGGGGTGGGCGTCTGCTGTCAGCTCACACAGCAGAACCTTAACTGGGCTGAGGTCTGTTGGCGACACTCCAGCTCCAGGTCACAGCCCCGGGCAGAGAGGTTCTGTCCACACCATGGGGAAGGAGAGGCCTCCCCAAAAGTAAATAATCATGATTCTTACCATTTTGATAAATAAGAACTTCTCCCCAGAAAACACACATTTGTCTTTAGTATAGAACTTTGCATGTAACTTCAAAGGGTCTGTTAATACACCCTTGTGAAGAAGCCCTGAGCCCCCAGGAGACCACCAAGGGCACAAAGGGAGCTGGAATGGGGGCATGTCATTGGTGTGGGGACAGAGGGATCAGGACCCCCCCATCTCAGTGTCAGAGGCACCTCGTGCTCCCTCTTTGAAAAGGTCTGGCCTGCGAGGCTGACGTGGATGGGAGGAGAGACAGCCGCTCACAAAAACAGATCTTCCGCCTGCACACGGCCCTCGCCTCTCTCAGGGCGGGCCCTGCTTCCCACAGGTAACTAAGGAAACAGACAGCACTAAACACGACCACGCCATTCCTGATGGGCTTCTTCCCTAACACCCACAGGCGTGGTTTTCACGACACGCGTATTTCTAAAGGAAAGTGACGACCTGACACCACGTGGCAGGGGTAGGTGATGTTCTGGGGGTATGAGTCCTGCCAGGTGTGGCCTGGCATGAGAAGGCAGGGACACGAGGCCTGGTTGGCACCCCAAGAAGTTCACACACCTGGCCCAGCTCTGAAAATACGGGAAAAAGTGAAGTCCATGTCCTCATCTCAGGGATATCACACATTTGTGAGCAGTTGTTTAATAATGCAAATATCCACCCAGAGCTGTGGGTTTGGAATAGCTGACTGCTCAAAAGTCATGTGTGCTTGCATATGTGTGTGAACATGTGTGTGTGTATACGTATTTGTGTGTGAGAGCGTATGTGTATGAGTGAATGTGTTTGTGCATGAGCGCACATGTATGTGTGAACATGTGTGCATGTTGTGTGTGCACTTGGGAGAGAGTCTAAACCCGGCAGAGCATTCTTTCTAGCCTTAATTGTCCAGATTTCCTGGTGAGGAGCAGCAGACAGTTCCCAGTTCAACCTGAGGGCAAGGTGGTCACCTGAGATGGGGCTGTCCCCTGGAGCCACTCATGGCCCCACAAAAGGAGACTCCCCCACGCACACACTTCTCCTCAATCACAAACGTCTGTCTCAAGAAAGAGTGCTGGGAAGAGGCAAGCAGGAGCTGCGGGGCCGAGGCCTGGTTCTAGCCCCTTCTCTCCCACCTCCGTTAGCGCGGCCCTGGTCTCGCAGGTCTCCAGGCCTCACCTGCTCTGGCTAAGGGGGGCGGGGGTGCCAGGGAGATAAAAGCTCAGCTGCTGGAAGGTCGGGGTGGGGCCGGAGCTCCACTGGGGTCCCTACCCGGGTCCCTCCAGACTTGCTTCTCCACTCAGAACACCCTGAATCAACACAACGATGTCTGCTGGTCTACATCTATCTTGCTACTCAGGGATGTTACCTAACTCCTGCCCTGTTGGTGCATCTTCCCGGTACCGCGAGCAGTTAATGATCCGCCTGGCCCACCCCTTCCCGCCACGGCGCGCTGGACCACGAGCCGAGTGGGTTCCGCCCCAACCCAGGCATGCGCAAAGCTGGCCAAGTGCCCACCCCGACCCAGGCATGCGCAAAGCTGGCCAAGTGCGCGCCCCGACCCAGGCATGCGCAAAGCCCATGCTGGCCGCGTCCCTCTGGCCAACGCCCTTCCCTCTCCATGGGTCCCAGCCCAGCCCAGCCTTCTGACCCCCTCCAAACGGCCGCCTGCGCTGGGCCCCTTCTTTACTTGGTTAACATCCCAGGCAGGTGCCCCTCCAGGTCAGTGTGGCCACGAGGGCCCAAGGACGGGTGCCCAGACTCCTGCTTATACGGGGCATTCCCTCAGGAGTTTGAGAGGCCACCACAAGTTACATAAATAGTGTCAAATTGATCTGGTCAGCAAAGGAATTTCCATGGCTCAGCTCAGACCCAAATTCAATAAGGAAAGGAAAAATTCAAACCTCCTCGAGAGGCAGGGGGGTGAAATATTTTCAACAGCAACATAGAAAGGACAGGTTAAAAATACCCTCGACTCCATCTGCAAAACCTCCATTTTGCTCCTCCTCCAAGCCCTGGGCCACCATCCGGTACCAATTAAGTCATTTCCTCTGGAATTTGTTCCCATCAGTAGGAGCTGTGGCCTCCAATGCCTTTCCCTGTGCCTAGCAGGGGCCAGTTGTGCTGCCAGGGCCCCCTGGTAGGTGGGGGGGCATCCAGGCACAAGTCAGTGTGTCAGTGGTGCTTCCCTGCCCCCACCTCCACCTCCCAAACCCCGGCACCTGCAGCCCTGGGCAGTTAACAGCAGTCCCGCCTGGAGCCACATCTCTCCTGGGCCTTCCATTGCTATGGCTCCTGATGACTTCTCCATGCATCCACATGTGGACTTCCCCAGAGAAGCGAAGTTCCTCCAGGGCAGGGGCCCCACGGTCTACATCTCTGCCCCCCAGGCCACACTGACCTGTTCACAATGGATGTGTGTCCTCGGAACACCTGCAGGCACTGCCCCGTCAGCACATCCCACTTCCTGATGGTGCAGTCAGCGCTGCACGTGAAGGCGGCTTCATCCTCCAGCTGGCAGAAGGTCACGTAGCTTTCGTGTCCTGCAGGCGAGGGGAGACGTGAGCATGCCAGGGCATGCCAGCCATTGTTTTTTTTTTCTGGGAAGAATGTTTGAGATGGGGGAGGGGGGTGAGGGAAGAAAGCAGAGGGCAGGGAGTGTTTGAGGTGAGTCCTTTGGACATGATGATTTTACTCTGGGACAGAGTCTCAGGAACCATGGGGTGCCGAGAGCAATTCAGGGGGCACTCAGTCTGCCCCTGAATCCTTTTGCTCCCTCATCTTCCAGTCTCTTCTTCCTCCCTCCTCTGCTGCCCTCCGCCTTCTTCAATGTCTCCTTTTTAGTCTTCAAACTTTTCAGCTATTTGTATTCACTCAAGTCATTCAACAAACCCAATGCTATGGTGACAAGAAGTATAGAGGCCAAGGGTGTGGTCTTTGGAGCCAGAAGGTCTGGGCCAGCATCCTGATGCTGCTACTGACTGTGGAAGGCAAGCCACTTCACCCGCCCCGGGCCTCGATTTCCTCACCTGAGATGGGGGAGTAAGGATGCCTATGTCATGGGGTTGTTGTGCAGACTGAGTAAATGCCAGGTGCTATCTGTTCTTCTTACATTTGGGGAGAGACACTGTGGCAGGCAGAATAATGCCCCAAAGATATCAGGTCCTAATTCCTGGAACCAAGAAGTGTTACCTCACTTGGAAAAAGACACATTTGCAGATGTAATTAAATTAAGGATCTTGAGATGGGGAGATTATCCTGGATTCTCAGGATGGGCCCTAAACACAATCACAAATGTTCTTTTAAGGAGGCTGAGGGAGATCTGAGGAGGCAGAGAGAGATTTGAAGGTGCTGGCCCTGAAGACTGGAGTGATGCGGCCACAAGCCAAGGAGCCCTGGCAGCCACTTGCAGCTGACAGAGGAAACCAGATTCTTCCCTACAGGTTTCAGAGGGAGCACAGCCCTACTGACACCTCGATAGCGGCCCAGTGACACTGATTTTGGACTTCTGGCCTCCAAAAAACTTCTTGTTTTATGGCATCCACGGTGATCACTGGTCACAGCAGCCACAGGAAATGAACACAGATCAGAGATGATTAAGACACGTTCCCTGCCTTCAAAGAGAGCAGCCAGCCCAGCAGGAGAGACAGTCAGCTGAGCGTGACATGCACTGGGACAGAGTGTGCCAGGGGTCAACAGAGCAGAAGCCTGGATGTTGCAGAGCAGGAAGGGTCCACAGGTACCCGTGGGGCGAGGATGGGAGAAGAGCATTCTGGGACAGCAGAGGGCACTCATCAAAAAAGAAGGAGCCCCAAGGCCAGAATTCAGGTGTTTGGCAGAAATGGTGGATGCGGCAGAGACACCGTGAGCGTGGAGGCCACACAGAGTCTGGGCTCTCGGCCGAGCGCACCTGATCATCCCTCTTACCAGTGCGCCTGTCAGATCTCACCCAGCCCAGGGATCAATGTTCATGTCTGGGGCATTAATAAGCAGCCCTGTGCAGGGGCCAGCCCCAAAGCCAGGTGCTTAAGTTCCCGCACTCCACTTCTGCAGCCCGGGGTTGACAGGTTTGGATCCTGGGCACAGACCTACACACTGCTCATCAAGCCATGCTGTGGCGGCATCCCACACAGAGGAACTAGAATGACTTACAGCTAGGATATGCAACTATGTACTGGGGCTTTGGGGAGAAAAAAAAAAGGAAGATTGGCAACAGATGTTAGCTCAGGGCCAATCTTCCTCACACACACACAAAAAAAGCAGCCCTGGGAGCCCTGCTGAATTACAGTAGGGCCTGGTCTCCGGGCAAGATCTTTCACCTCAGATAACAACTTTTAACAGCACACAGAAGCTGAGTATATTTGAGGGGAATTCAGGGACCAGAAAAATTGACAGAATCAAAGGAATGTTAGACCCAAAAGCCATTTCACAGATGAGCAGACTGTTGCACTCAAATACCCACACCTTTGGGGGATGTTGTATTACATTAAGGTTTCAGTTGAACTTTAAACTCCGTCTAGATGTCTAGGATCAGGGAGAATGGGGTTTAGAATCTCCTAGGCAGTTTCAAGCTGATCCACACTTTTTTTAGCTCTAGGTTTAAGCTTAGTTACTCTCAGAAGAATGCAACTTCCTGGGTTCTAAGAAACAGAATTTTTAAAAAAAATTAACAAAGAAATGTTTTCCACTCTTCTTGGACAGCATATACCAGCCTCTAGGAAAACGTCTCTCCGAATAAAGTAAACACTTAGAGACACTGCAGTTTATGTTTCCTTAAAATACACATCCATTTAAAAGTAGAGGGCAAAATGTGTTTGGCAAAACACAGCCCAGCTTTCTGCCAACCCCAAAGAGTTTATAAAACATTTCAAGATTGTCAACAAACTTTCCCTGAGAGCATGTCTATCTGCTGTGGGGAAGGCTCAGCCCCATCTGGGAAGGAACCACCTGGCTTCCTCAGCCGGAGCTGGCCCTGCGCGGGCATCACGTCCTGCCATCCTGAGGATCTCTAGGGGCCCGGCGTGGCTGGGCGCTAGGCGAGGCCAGGAGAGGCCAGGAGAGGCCACCTCAGGGGCGTCATCCCCATTCCACTTGCTTCCGTCCCATCTCAAGAGCATCCGACAGCAGAAAGGCAAAACGCCAAGCGTAAGTGCAAATTAAGCCAAGAAAAGCACTGGAAACCAAGGGTGGTTAGGAAACCCTGACACTTCCACTCGGTGCAACCATAGCCATTAAACCAGGGATGCTGAAGACCGTGAGATGTGGGACCGCTGTGATGACAAAAAAAAGGATACATACATCAATGAGAATCAGTAACAATATAAATGTATATACACAAAGACTTGAAGAAAAGGAGTGAAAATGAAAAGATGGCTTTTTCCATGTAAAATAACCTCCCCTCTGCAGCTGGGCCAAGCTGCCCCTCTGCCCTCTTGGGGGCGTGGCCCCAGCTGGCTGAGGCTCCCTGCAGCGGTCAAGGCTCTCCCGAGGACAGGCCCCTTCCTCTGTGCACCAGACACCCACCCACATCTGAAAACCCACGCTGACTCGGAGCCCTGCCAGCAGAGGGGCCCTGGAGGCTGCAGAGCGCTGACCGTAATCCAGACCAGACAACAGGGCTCCACGGCCGCTGGGCCTGCAGGGTCACCCAGGGAGCAAAGGCCCCTGCCCCGACCCCGGGGATGGAGGAGGGAGGGCCCATCACGTCTCCAGGGACAACAGCGCCTCGACCACGAGCTTCGGAATTGCGCAGAATAAGCAAAAAAGCCAAAGTAAAAATAAATATTTTTGAAGGGATGAAGAATGCAGATAAGATGCAGTTATTATGTTCTAAAGAACACACTGAGGCTCAGAGGTTCCTGCCAAGGTAGTCGGCCCTCCCGCCTCCCTGCCCGCACGCTCTCGGGCTGGCTGCAAGTTTAAAGTCAAAGGGCCCCCTCCCCATACAGGAGGCCTGCGGGCGCACAGATGGGCTGGAGTGGGCACCAGCCTCAGGGCGCCGGCCGAGCTGGAACATGCCTTGGACTCAGCATGCAAAGCGACGTCTCCTTTCCTTCTGCTGTCCCTAGCGAGTCTTCCCTCTGTCCCTCAGCTCTTCTCCAGCTCACTCTCTGCCGTTTCCCCTAGCCCCCGTATCAAGATCACCACCACCCCTGTGGGCTCCGTGGTCTCCCCACTGCCAGCAGGGTTCAGACAGTTGGGAGCCCAGCAGGAGCATCGCATGACCTGCAGGAGCAGGTCCGGCTACACTGGCCGTGCCTGGTGCATCTCCCTGGAGGAAGCCCGTCTCTGGGCTGCAGTAACCACTCCCACTCTCCCTCCTTCAGGCCTGGGAGTGGCGAGAGTCCGGCTGGTACCAGCCACCAGCACTGTGGGTCCCCTATACTCTGCCCACATTTTGCAAGTGTCCTTTATTAAACTCTCCTTGAGTTACTCTTTTGAAGGCACCATTTTGTTTCCTTCTGGGACCCTGCCTGCTAGAGCTGCCTCGTGATGTGTTCTCTGAGCAAGCCAGAGTGGCAGCTCCCACTCCAGAGCATGGAGGGTGTGGCTGAAATGGACAAGGTCTGACAAAGCCACTTAAGACTCAGCCCCGGCCACCTGGCCCCAGGCTCCCTGCCAGGGCAGGTTGAGGCTTTTGTCACTGGTGCTGCCACAGGGCCTGTCCTTCCAGCCCAGCTTCTCTTGCCCCATGACCTTGACCAAACCACTCGCCATCCCTCCATCCCCATCCTCCTCAATCTGCCCCCACAGGGGAGACCACCCCCAGACAGTGGTCTCTGGAGAGCTGAAGAATGAATTACCAGTGTGGGCTTCTTTCAAATCCGTACTTAAAACAAAGTGCATTTTGATGGAATTCTTCCTTGACGGGGACAAAGCTAATAATGATTTGTTTATGTCTGAGAGCCTTCCCTGAGCTCCCACAGGCCCTTTAAAATATGTATGAGATGATTCAGCAACCCCACTTCTGGGTATAGACCCAAAAGAATTGAAAGCAGGGCCTGGAGAGAGATTTGCACACCCATGTTCATAGCAGCAGCATTCACGATAGTCAAGAAGGGGAAGCAACCCAAGTGTCCATCGGCAGATGAAGAGATTAAAAAAATGCAGCATATCCCCACAATGGAATAGCATTCAGCCTTCAAAAAAAAGGTTTCTGACACACACTACAACATGGACAAACCTTGGGGACATTGTGCTAAGTGAAATGAGCTAGTCACAAAAAGATAAACACTGTATGATCCCACTTATACTAGGTACCTAGAATAGTCAGATTCGTAGAGGCAGAAAGGAGAACGGTGGCTGCCAGGGGCTGGGGGAGGGAGAATGGGGTTCTTGTTCATTGGGGACAGAGTTTCAGTTTTACAAGATGAAGAAGTCTGGAGATGGATGGTGGTGATGGCTGCACAACATTATGAATGTTTAATCTCTCTGAACTGTACACTTAAGAATGGTTAAGATGGTAAACTTTGTGTTTTTCATTACAATTAAAAACTGTCCAGTTCCAGGCCCACCTGGGCCAAGAGGTGAACCTGACTACCCCAGCCCACAGCTCCTGCTTATCTGGAGGTGGAGCGCACACAGCCCCTCCGCTGAGCACTCGTTCTCTCAGTCCAGGCTGCAGACTCCCTGGGGCAGGCGCCGAGACTCCCACATCTTCCAGTCCCACACAGGCAGCCAGCACAGTCCACCCAGCAGGCAGGGAGGGGGAAAGGGCTCCGGACCAGGAGGGAGGAGCGCAGGCTCCACCCAGGGCCTGCTCTGCCCGCGTAAATGCAGGAGGGTGGCTAGCCCTCCAGAGCCTCAGTTTCCTCATCTACAAAATGGGCATTTTAGGGTTGTGAGAAACAAACGAGGAAGAGCTTTAGAGCTGGCACGATATGGTGCCAATGAGATGCTGCTCTTCAACTCGGGCTTGTTGACGTTGGCATGAAGGACAAGACAACTAGCGCAATGAGCCCAGAGCTGCTTATTAACTGGCTGAATCCCACCACAACCTCATAAGGCTAGGTTACTATTGTTATCATCCCAATTCACAGAAAAAGAAACTGAGGTATGGGGGCCAGCCCCGTGGCTGAGTGGTTAAGTTCGCGCGCTCCGCTTCGGTGGCCCAGGGTTTCGCCCGCCAATCACAGACATGGCACTATTCATCAAGCCACGCTGAGGCGGCGTCCCACATGCCACAACTAGAAGGGCTCACAACTAAAAATATGCAACTATGTACCGGGGGGCTTTGGGGAAAAAAAGGAAAAATAAAATCTTAAAAAAGAAAAAAAGAAACTGAGGCACAAGAATTTAAGTAGCGGAATTCAAGCCCAAGCAGTCTGGCTCCAGGGCCCAGGATCTTGACCATTAATGGCCTCTCCCACTCCCCGGTGGGGTCATGCCATTGGGCTGGTACCACTAGGCTTCCAATAAAGAGGAGTGTGCAGTTTATCCACACAGAACCAAAAACCACCACTGGGGCTGGCCCCATGGCTTAATGGTTAAGTTCACATGCTCTGCTTTGGCAGCCCAGGGTTCACGGGTTTGGATCCTGGGTGTGGACCTACAGGCTGCTCATCAAAACACGTTATGGCAGCGTCCCACATACAAAATAGAGGAAGACTGGCACAGATGTTAGCTCAGGGCCAATCTTCCTCAAGCAAAAAGAGGAAGGTTGGCAACAGATGTTAGCTCAGGGCGAGTCTTCCTCACCAAAAAACCTCAAAAAACCACCACCCCCATCATGTTAGAAGATAAGGAAGCTTGTGGACCAGCCATAGTGGGCTAGAACCTTCAGGCTGGGTCCCTTACTACATAGGAACAGACAGGGACAGCAACGCTACTGTGGGAAGTGCTCCTTATCCCACTGATCCAATGAAGTGCCCCAAATAAGCAGGTAGCCACGGGATAAAAGCAAAAGAGGAGGAGGGGATAATTACCTTAAAAGCAATTCCTCTCTTTACAGATTAATTGGCAGTTAAGCCTTCTATTTCACTGCAGTTCACCAGCTGCATTTGAAAGCCAATTCCATTTATAAAAAAGTTCACAGGTTCACGGCTCCACAGGAGCAGAGACGCTTGGAGCACTGCTTCCGCACCTGCTCTCCAGGGGCCTCCAAGGGCGACAACTTGCTCACCAAGCTCCCACCCACAGGGCATAGCCCTGTTCTTCCTCTCCGTCCACCCCTCGGTACAAATTTCCTAAATGCTGCAAGACTCACAGAAAAGCCCCAGCCCCCGGTTGCCTCTGCTGCTGTGAGCTAAGCAAGAAGCTCGTCTGCAGAGGGAAAGCACATGGCAGGAGCTGCCAACCCAGCCACTGTGCCCATGAAGTCCAGGCCCGACCCACCGACAGGCTCTTCACAGCCTTCTGTGCGCCCAGAGCTGCACAAGGAGCTGGCACTCAACCCCAACTAGTAGCTTCCACAACAGAAGTGGAAAGAGCCTAGATTTGGAGTCAGAAGACCTTCAGTGATCAGGGCTGCCCCTGATCAGCCATGTGGCCTTGGGCAAGCACAGCTCCCTGCAGTGTCGTCCTGGTGAGAGCAGGAGCCACACAGTGAGTTAGAAGCCCTCTCGGCCCAACCTGCTGTGTGACCTTGGACAAGTTCTGTAACTGCACTGACCTGCTGTGTGACCTTGGACAAGTCCTTTAGCTGCACTGACCTGCTGTGTGACCTTGGACAAGTCCTTTAGCTGCACTGACCTGCTGTGTGACCTTGGACAAGTCCTGTAACTGCACTGACCTGCTGTGTGACCTTGGACAAGTTCTGTAACTGCACTGACCTGCTGTGTGACCTTGGACAAGTCCTGTAGCTGCACTACGTGCCTTGGGGGATGTTGACACCACCACCTACCTCACAGGTACCTAGAAACACTTAAGATGCTCTGTGTGTTGGTAAATAAATCCCCATGCTCATCTATAAACCAGTGTCAAAGGGAGGCCGGCCCTGTGGCCGAGTGGTTAAGTTTGCACACTCTGCTTCAGCAGCCCAGGGTTTCACTGGTTCGGATCCTGGGCGCAGACATGGCACTGCTTGTCAAGCCATGCTGAGGCAGCATCCCACATGCCACAACTAGGAGGACCCACAACTGAAAATACATAACTATGTACCAGGGGGCTTTGGGGAGAAAAAGGAAAAATAAAATCTTTAAAAAAAAACAAAACCAGTGTCAATTCTATCTAGCTCACAGTCCTGAGGATTAATAACATGACAAGTATTTCGAGGGTTATTTATAAAACAAAGAGTACTAAACAAATGTTAAGACATATTATTAATATTGAGCTGATAGAAAAAATCCTATAGGGTGGGGGAGCTGGCAAGACCCTGCTGTCCTTGGGGGCCACATGAGGACTGTTGCACATCCAAAATGACTCTTTTGCAACTCATGTCTATTAGCGCGATTCCAGCATAAGGAAAGGTTACTTGTGTCCCCTCTGTCCTTGAAAATTCTTGAAGTGCCAACCATTTTAACAGCAGAAACAATCCTAGTAGAAACAGGCAGTAGTTTTTTCAGTTCGATGGCTTTCCTGTTGAGTGGCCTGGCCCTCTAGGGCACCAGAGGATCAGGCACAGATTCACTAGGAAGCAGGTGTTGGTATCCTGAGGGGACAAGCAGCTGTGAGGACCACCAAAGTGGATGTGAAGGGCAGCTGCCAGGCAGAGCTGGGTGGGGATGGCGGGGCAGAGCTGGGCAGGAGGGTGGGCCCTGGAGGCTGGTCCCAGGCTCCAGAGCTGCCCTGCACGCCGAGCCAGGGTGCTCACCAGGCCAGAGCCACCCTTGGAAAGGCTGGAGCTTAACTGGGGAGGAAACTCACCTGCAAACTGGGCTCCCACCATGGGCCCCAGCCCAGGGGCTCCCCAGGCCAGCTATGCATCAGATCCACCTGAAATGCCAATTCTAGAATTTCCTGTTAGAAATGCCAGTTCTAGAGTCCTACCCCATGGGAAACCGGGTCCTGGAAATGCACATATCTGAAAGCCCTCCAGGCTCGGGTTTGGAAAGCAATACAAGTTAGATTCAAGATCCCTAGCAGATCTCAGATCTTCCAGCGCTGGCTGAGTGTCTGTCAGTGTGTGTGACTTTTTTTGCAGGGAGAGAGAATTAAATGTGTCAGTTTGTGGTCAACTCTCCGTTATCCACACCAACTTCCAATTAACTGGCAATCCAAAACGCATCCCTACCCGGCTTTGAAATATCTACCATAACTGCTTTTATCTAAAACCAATAGTGTCGGGATCGGCCAACACTGAAGCTAATCTGTACTCCCTGTGCCTACGAGAGCTGGAAGGCCTGGGGGAGGCCACCCAGGATTTGCTGATTACGTGGAAAAACCAGACAGAGATAAATAACTGCACAGTGTTGAAAGCCCTGTGCTCCATCCAGGGGCTGTCCTGCTGCTCAGGCCACAGCAGGGGCAGAGCTGGAGGGACCTCAGTCCTGCAGTGCAGACACGTGACAGCGACGCGGGGTAAGAAATACACCCACTTCTGACACGTAAGAATAGGGCTGCATTTGTAAAACTGCTTTATAAAATACGCACGTACACCTACTACGTGTGCCTCCTGCTATTTCACAGTTTCCAAATCTGATAAATTGATTTAACAATCCCCTTTAGAGAAGCCTCAACCAATCTCATCCCCTCACCCCTTCATTTTACAGGGGATGAAATGAAGCAGCAGAGACCGGGCTGGGTGGTCCGAGGTGGGAGGAGGGTTCAAATTTCAACTCTACCCCCCACGGGTTGTGTGACCCTGGGAAACTTACTTCCTGCCTCAGTTTCCCCGTCTGCACGAGTGGGATAACAGTAGTGTGAGGACTGTACACGGTAGTGCTCAGCACGGCGGCACCCAACAAGCCCACTTAAAAAGCCCCCGTTGTTACCACAGTGGCCCAGAGAGAGGAAATGTCCGGCCAAAGGTCACACGGCCAGTGAGTGACAAGGGAAGGCGCTGCTTAGCTGAAGTGGTCTGAGTGCCATGTTTTTGTTCAAACGGTTGTAATGGAAATGATTTCATGCAGCTCGTTGACAAGTGATCTTCGCCTCGCCGTGGCGGATGCCCCTCGGCCCCCTGACCCCAATCGCAGCCCGCTCTGCACCCCGCCCCACGCGCTCGGCTGGTCGGAGGCCAGGCCGGGGGAGCGCTCTTCCATGAGCGCCCCGGGGCCGGCGGGGGCTGGAATTTTGGGGAGCAGTCTTCGGGCGGAAAAGCCGAAGTCTGAGGCAGGAGAGCGGGCGGAACAGAGGACAGAGCAGGAGGGTGGGGAGGGCGCGGCGCAGAGTGTCTACCTTGCAGGAGGGCGCAGCACTGGCCGTCCGCGGTGCTCCAGAGCCGGGCTGTGCCGTCCTCGCTGCCCGTCAGCAGGCGCTGTCCGTCCGGGCTCAGGCTGAGCCAGTTGATGCCCCCGCGGTGGTCGGCGCAGACCCTCAAGGCAGACCCTCCGCCCCCCATCCCGCCGGTCGAGCTGAGGACCAGGAAGAAGCTGCGCCCCGCTAGGGAGGGGTGCCCCGGCATCCGCGCGGCTGCTCCCTGCGGCTGTGTCCCGCGGCCATCGCAGGGGGCCGGGACGCCAGGCGCCTGCAGGAACACGGGGCACGGCGGGGGTGAGGTGAGGGACCCTCGCTCCCGCGCTGCCTACCGGACCTCCCGGCCTACTGACCCAGCGGAGGCTGCGCTGCGGGGGGCGGCCCACTGGGGACCCCCTCCAATGGGGCAGCCCCACGGGCGCAGACTGCCCCCTTTCCCCGCGCCCCCTCGTAAGACCCGCACCCCACCTGTGCAGACCCGTCCCTCGGGGCTCGGGCGAGCCGGGCAGAGACGCGCTGGGAAGCCCGGGTCTCTTCGTGGGGCGCAGGCGGTGGGGAGAACCAGGGAAGGCGAGCGCCCCGCACCTCGCGCTCCGCGCGCTCCCCAGCCTGCGCTGCGCGCTCCGGGTTGTGGAGTGTCGAACAATACGGTCCCGCCTGGCTCCTCCTCAGAGACCACCCCTCAACCTGTCCCCTCCCACTTTTCCGGCCTGCGCTCCAGCCCCACCCCGCACTCCCGCAGCCACCCCCCGCCCCCCGCCCCCTGTCCCTTGGGACCGACCTCGGCCAGCTGTCCCCGCGCCCGCCCCAGGGATGCGGAGGTCGGCTCCACGTGCGACCCTCCCAGCTGCCTCGGCTGCGCCTCTGAGCTCCAGCCCTCTGCCACCCCCGCGGGACCAAAGACCGGGACAAGGGAGGAGGAGGTGGACACAAGGGTCTGGGTGGGGGAGACGTGCAAGCCCGGGAACTCACTCCGGTTGGCGGCTGCGCGCCACCACCGGGCAAGTCTGCTCCTTCCAGGCTCCCAGACCTAAAGACCCTGCCAGAGGGGCTCTCGGGGGACTTGGAGGCAGTCCCCCTCGTCGGAAAGCGCCCCTACTCCGCCCTCGCTGAGAAATCACGCGCACATCCCGATTTCTACATAAGTCCCGCCAGGGGACGGGGAGGAGAGTGGGGGTGGGGAGCGAGCCCGGGCGGAGAGGCGCGGTGGGGCTTCCGGGAAAGGTCAGGTTCGCCCCCTCGAGAGGCCGTAGGGTCCTAGGCGCCGGGCTCCCTCCGCTCTCTTTCTGGGGGCGTGGACCCCGCCCACCGCACCAGCATCTTTCGGCCTCCAACCCCACCCCCGCGCCCCCTCCGCTCGGCCTGAGCCTCTGACGGTCCGCTGAAGTCTCTGCGGGAATCCCACACCCCCGGCTGCGAGCCCTCCCGGAGCGCCCGGCTGCTGGTTCCCATTAGAGCAGTTCCGGTGCCTACTTCGCGGGGGGCGCGGAGGGGTGACCCCCCACACACTCAGATCCTCTAGGTCCTAAAGGTAGCAGGATTTCCCGAACCCTCCAGGGCTCTTTCTAGAAGCTGGTCGGGCAACCTTGGATTCCTTTGTGTGTTTGGGGCTGGGGAGAGGGGAGCAGGGTGACTTTAGAAAGCCAAACCTCATCACGACGACAGGACCTTCTCCCAATGATCGACCATGTCCAGACTCTGAAGGAAAACCCATAGTGGGGTCCCACAGGGCGCTGGGCTGTTTATTACCCAAGTGGCCTAACTAGAGAAATCCATTCTTTCCCCAAACTTGTGAATCAGCTTGCAACTCAGCTTAAGGGGCAGACCTTACTTCATAGGCAGTGGGGGCCAGTGAGGGGTTTGGTGGGTCCCTTAGAGTGGGATTTAGAATCGTTGGAAGACTGGTGGAGGTGAGTTGAGAGGAGGCAGGAGGGGGCTGTGGTGATCCAGCAGGAGAGAGGAAGGCAGAAAGGGGAGACATATTCCAGAGAGGGATTCTTCAGAAATTGCATGTGTGCAGGGAGGGAAGTAGGACTCTGCGAGTCTGCACTGTGCTGAGAGACTGGAAGGTGATGGCTGTTGACACGTTTTCAGAGATGCTCCTACAAGCTGATCATGAGTTCATTTTAAGACCTGTGAACTTCAAGGTGCCATTGCAACATCCAAGTGTAAAGACTGATGGGCAGGTGGCAATACAGATGTGGCCTCCAGGTGAGGTGTGGCCAGGTAGAGGGAGTAAGAATCATAGGCGTTCCCTGGAGCAGCAGCCCTCGGGAATGTGCGTCTGAGGAGTGAGACGACAGAGGAAGAGCTTACATAGAGAAGAGCCAGAGGAGACCCAACCGTTCTGGATGAAGAGGAGAGGGTGTTTAAGAAGTGGGGGATAGTGGGGCTGGCCCCGTGGCCGAGCGGTTAAGTTCGCGCGCTCCGCTGCAGGCGGCCCAGTGTTTCGTTGGTTCGAATCCTGGGCGCGGACATGACACTGCTCATCAAACCACGCTGAGGCAGCGTCCCACATACCACAACTAGAAGGACCCACAACAAAGAATATACAACTATGTACCCGGGGGGTTTGGGGAGAAAAAGGAAAAAATAAAATCTTTAAAAAAAAAAAAGAAGTGGGGGATAGCCAAGGCAGGGTGAGATGACCATGGCCACACCCTCAAGGAGCCTGCCTACTAGTGTGCGATACAAGACAACCACATTAGGAGGAAAGTTGCCTTCCAAGGGGGCACACAATATTAGTGAGCAAGATGGGATCATACCTTCTGTTTCCTCCATCCAGCCACCCACACAAACCCTGCTCCTTCATTCTCAGCTCCAGCACACAGAGGGGGTTCAGGAGCGCTGGTGCCATCAACTCATCAATATCAACAAGCCTACCACCCAGTACTACTCACCTCCACCAACTTCCTCTTTCCAAGTTGATTTATCTTTTGTTCTTCTTGCCCTCCCTCCTTTATTCCTCTCCTCTCTCTCACGTTGGTTTGGCACAGTGGTCCCCTGGCGGAGAGTGTGTGTGCAACAGGGTAGGGTGTGTGGATGTGCAGTGAAGACACCATCCTGAACCAGTTTTTCTTCCTTTTTCTCTTACAGGTTGCGAATTACAGACTCTGCGGTGGTGAACTTTGCCCAGTTCTACCAGGAGTGCAAGAAGGCGAGAAAGTTGAAAAACAACGCCCAATTCCCTTGAAACTAGAGTCTCCCGCCCCCTCCATCTTGACACACAGAGTGCTAGAGATATGGGACCCAAGCTAGGTTGGCCAGCAAAACTGTGAAATCAGCAAAAACTGGCCTCCCTCCCCCACGTCATGCCCATAACCCTGTTACAGAGCCCGTCCAGAGGGCCCAGAACAGTTAGGGTGCACAAGTCTCTCCTGTATCAAATCACTGTGTAAACTTAAGTCACCAGAAGACGTCCTGGTGGGCGGGGGAGGGATGGTTAGGTTTTAAGAAGAAACAGGAAAGGGGCGATGTTTAACCAGTGAGGTTGTGGGGGACACGGACAGAAGGAGACCGTTTTGTGCCATGGGTGCTCATACCGCATGCCACACAAATAGCCACAATTCCACCTGCTGGAAAGGACGACCCTGCTGGAGCCTCTGTGTGGGGCCTCAAGAAAGTCAGGCGGGTGCTGGGTTTCTATTTGGGGTGACGAAAAAGTTCTGTAACTAGATAGTGGTAATAGTGGCATAACACTGTGATTGTACCTAATGCCACCGAATTGTACACTTTAAAGTGATTACAGTGGTAAGTTTTATGTTATGTGTATTTACCGTACACATAACATAACATATTGTTGCACAAAACATATCGTGCCATTAAAAAAAGAAGGCTTTATAGGCTCAATACTATTACTACTACTGGTAATGTTTGGAGGACAATTATCAGAGAATTAAAATTATTGTTTGGAGAGTAATACATGACCATATGCCCTTAGAACCCTGTATATACACATGTCCCAGACTGTCAGTGTTGTCGGGGTCCACAGAGGATGGGATCAGCATTAGATGTCAGAGAGAGTCCCCTAGTCTCTGAGCAAGGGTCTGGAGCCAGGCTGAGCTGGACCACTGGGCTCAGGTGAGCCACACTCCCCACATTCTCTCATTCATAGGATGACATTCTCTCAATCTGCGCCAAGGGATCACTGTTCATTCCAATCAGGGTCAAGATTTAAGAGGAAGCGGGCTTAGAAAATCACATCTCCTTCTCATGCCAAGAAAGTCTCCTTTGTTCTGGCCACTCCTGGCCGTTGCCTCTACTGCTGTTCCCCGAAGTCAGGAGTCACGCCCTCTGAGCAAGAGAGTTGCCACTCAGAGACTGACCTTGGGGCACAGAAGGAGGTCCAGAGTGTGGACATGCTTATGGCTCTCCGAGGTCACCCCACATCTGCGACTGGAATGTCTGGGCCTTTCCTGGGTGTCTGACCAGGGCAGTGTTAAAGACATGGCTATTCTATAATATGAAAACCAGCTGGTAAACATCCCATCCTCCTAAATTTTTACTTTATCGCCCCAACAGACTCTTCCTAGCAGCTTCAGAGAAATGTCAGAGACTAACTAGACAAAGAAAAAGGAGTTTTTTAAACAGCTTTCAGAATGTGCTAGCTTTGACTTACTTCCATGTCTGGCCAAGATGGAGTAATAGGGATTGGATTAACCCTCCTGCCTCCTACCTTAAACAACCAAAAACAAACACAGAAAATATATGAAGCAATAGTTTGCAAGACATTGGACAACAGGCCATGAAGGAGAGTAATTCCTGAGAGACGGAGGGAAAAACAAGGTGAGCCTTGCAGTTGGGCCAGCTCACTGCTCTGAGAGCATTTCCAGACCACAGAGCAGGGAGGGGGAACCCAAGTGGAGCCCAACGGACTCCCTGAGTTGAGGAAATAGCTGAGTGTTCAGGAAGAACAAAGTGCCTGGAGTTGGCAGGATAGAGTATCGGAGAGGAGAGACCCCTGGAGATCCACGGAAGGTCCCTCTCTGGTATGCAGCTGGAGACTGATCAACACATGCATGTGAGGAAACTACTCAAGAGGGGAGAAGGAGTAGAGGTAACTGCCCCCCCCCCCCCCCACAGGCTGAGAGTAGTGCAGGCAAGGACACGAAAACCGTTACTATAACTGTAGCCCATGTGCTCAAAAGGTGATATAGAAGAACGGAAGACATCAAAGGGTCCCAACTGAATTTTACAGATGAAAACAATGTCTGGCATTCAACAAAAACAACGCAGAATGGGATTAACAGCAGATTAGGCAGGACAGAATAAAATCGTAGTAAACTTGAAGACAGCAGTAGAAACTATCCAAAATGAAAAACAGAGAAAAAAGAATTTTCCAAGTGAAAAGAGCATCAGTGAGCTGTGGGATAACTTCAAGCAGCCTAATATATAAGTAATTAAAGTCCTTGAAGAAGAGAAAAGAAAGTAACGGAAAAAATATTTGAAGAAATAATGGCTGAAAGTTTCCAAATTTGGTGACAATTACAAATCCACAGACCCAAGTAACTCACCAAGCACAAGCACAGGAAACACAAAAGACACAAGCTCCACCAAGAATATGTAAGCTGAATAGTCCTGCAACTATTCTAAAAATTGAATTTGTAGTTAAAATCTTTCCACAAAGAAAACTCAAGGCCCAGATGTCTTTAGTGGATAATTTTACCAAACATTTAAGGAAGAAATAATGCCAGTTCTCCACAAATTCTTCTAGAAAATT